TAAACCATGGGAAGAGAGGTTCAGAAGAGGGCCAGTAGGGATGATGGAGCAGAGCACCTGGGGGTGGGACATTGAACCCTGGACATCCTTGAAGACAGGTCATGGAAACAGTCATGAGAGACATTTGCCTGCAGTTGATTCTCCTTCTGAATATGTGCCCCAGCCTCATCACCTGTCTGTGATACCTAAGAGTCACAGAAAAAAGCAGCCATGCTCCTCATATTTAAATTGAGATATATTCCTCTGGTACCGTGGCAATAGCACTTAAGGAAGATGCAGGAACTTTCTCTCTTTCAGACCCCAGCTGAGGTTATTTTACAAGGACAACTTTCCAATGAAAAAGGGGGCAGAGCTAAACTATTTCTCTGCCAACTCCACCCTCCATGAGCCTATGCCAGTCTTGCTTTGGACTTTGTTCCTGAATTGGAAAGGTAACCAGAAAGCATCAGATAAGAAACTGGACACATCAAAATAGTCAAACAAAGCCTGAAGGACTTTGACAATAAACACACATGAAGTGAAGACACTTTCACACAGATTCCTTACTTCAGTGTGTAGGAGGATGTACAGCAGGAATTTCATTTAGGAGAATGAAGTACAACATTGAGATCTTTATAGAAATCCTTAGCAGCTCTCTCTGGTACTTTTTGTACCACACACAGACTACAAGCTTACAGAAGTGTCAACTTTTGGGCACCCTACAACATGGGACGAGTGCACGCTGAGAACACACTGAGTTGTAACATAATACAAACAGAGATAAGGATAGGGGAGCAATAGTGAACAAATGCAAATGCAGTCTTGTGGACTAGAAAAATCCTAACTAGCTTCCTAGAGAAGCTGTGGAGGCACCTGAACCAAAGAGGCCTCCTGGAGCAGAGTTCAACATAGTGTTAGCCAAAATGTGTTGGCTAAACAAACTGAGTTAGAACATCACCAACATGACAAAGCAAAAGATATCCAGAGAAGGACAACTAAAATGTTCAGTGTACTCACACCACTGCAAAGGGCCACTTAAACAAACTAAACGTAAAACAGTTCAGCTGTTTTAGCTTGTCAAAGGATTCAGAGAGCAGCGTTGTGCCAGCACAGCAAGGTCTGCCCAGGGCCTGGGAATCATCCCAGCCTCATTCCCCCAACAAAATACCTCTCCTGGCAGAAGCTGGGTCAGAGATGCAGTGGTGCTGGTGTAAATGGGCTCAGCTGTCTTAGCCTGAGTCAGCTTCAGGAGGCGATGCAGCTTTGCTGGCTTAATGTACCCACAGCTGGGCTGCTGCCATGTGAAAAATATCAACCCACAGCCACTTAAACCAGGTTCCTTCAATTGACTCAATGAACTCCTAAATCAGTCTGTAACCGCAGTCTCCTCTGCATTCCCTTCTAAATTGAGTATGGTTGGTGTCAGGTCCATCCTTCCTCTTCCTTTCCCCTCTCTCAATTGTGTCCACACAAACAGGCACACTAGAAATTTATGCAATTCATTGTTTGTTCAGTGTAACTGCTTCAGTTCCACTTCCTAGTGGTGTTCCTCAAGGCTGATAGCTCTTCTTAAGGTTAAAATACAGACTCCCACGCTGGTCAGTTCAGAAAAGGTAGAGTTACTGCTTGTCTTCCAGCTAAGAAAATTAACTGAATTTGCACACTACAAGTCCCAGGTAGGTTTGCAATTGTAGCGCTAACACACAGAAAACGCTGGCTCAGCTGGCAAGTCTTTCAGATCATGGTGTGACTCTTGGACCCATGAAAGGAATTATTTTTTTCTTTGACCAGATCTCTCTCCTACCACTTGGATACCAGGCTGCTGTCTCTACTAAAGTACGCAAATCTGAGCAAGCCACCAAAATAAGTGTTAAAAATCACCTTGGGAATAAAAATACTGTTTGTACAAACTCTTACATCCTTCTCCCACCTTCCAAGCAAAGGCTGCTCTTGCAGCTGGTAAGATGAGGCTCTCCTGGTGAGGTGGGAGCGGAAACACAGTGGCTTATCGTTACGCACCGTCTTCGGTGCTTTGCTGCGTTAGGAAAGGACAGGACACCAAGCACATTCCATGGCACTCTGCCAAGCAGGGCCCCAAAGGGTAAACAGAAAGTAATGTGCAGGATGCAAGAGAGTCTTTAAAAAAAAAAAAAAAAGAGGGGCACCAGATGGTCACTGAAATGATCCACAACAGGGGAATGTGAAGGAACATTTCAGGTTCTGTTCTAACACCTTATTAAATATATTTGGATGCGTGTCTTAGGAGCAGGCTGTATTCTGGGAGAGCCATGTCAGGCTGAGATTTTGCAAATAATCCATCTCCTCCACAGTCCCCGGTGAAGTCACCACCTCAGCGCCCGGCTGTCCTGCTCCTTCCAACACTACAGCTGAGCATAATCACCTCAATCTTTTTTTTTTTTAATTGATTAAACTGACTTCCAGTGCCATTACAGTAAATCACCACAAGCAGGTTTTGTTCATTTGCTTTTTAACTGCGGACTCATATAACACAGCGTGCAAACCCTAACGAAGGGCATTTGTACGCCAGTGAGGGTTGATACTGCAGTTTAACAGAGAGCAGCTTTGTAAAGGGAGAACAAGGCTACTGCAGTGTGCTCTAGGGCTTTTACTTCCTATGGCCAGCACCGGATCTCTGTTCCCTGTTAATGAACAGCTGCTGTTCATTCAGCCGTCGAGGTGGTCCGGTGGGACAGGCAGCTGTGGGACAATTCAGAGGGGACACGTCACATGCAAAGTCTCCCCTCTTTTCTGAATGCTGGGCATGAACAATGCTCAGCCATCCATGCATAACACAAAACTCAGGAAGTTATGCAGCATCCTTTAGGTTTCATGCTTCTTAGTTGAGAGGCAGAGCGGGCAAGAGAAGAGCTCTGCCTTTCAGAGAAATGAGCTGCCTTAGAACCAAGAGGTGCCATCACAAAAGCTGTGTACCTTCAATCGGGGATTCCAGAAGCGCTTTTGGGCTATTATGAGGTCTCCTCTTCTGGTAGGACACACAAGAAGTCACTCTCCCATACAACAACCTCATGTTCTTGTTCCTCATGTTTCATTCAGTGTCAACAAACAATTACTTAATAGAAATACATTTCTAAAATTTGAACACTGAAATGAAATTTCAAATGACAGAAATTTTCATGCTCCCATCCTTGAGTTTCTTTACAGAGAAGCATACATTTGTTTTTTAAGAGGTCACAGGCTAAAGTCTTGGGAGCTGCTATAAGGCACCACACACTGACATAATAGGAAGGAGCCTGGGTTTAGTAAAGCACAGCAGAGACTGCCTGGAGTTCACTTTGAAAAACCAGGTCCAGGAAAAATCTTTTCCTCTTCCCCTCTCTGGAAAGGAACCAAAGTTTATCAAGCTTTGTCTACCATGATTTTCTACAAGTTTAAACACTATATCATGCATTTTTTGGAGGAAGTATGAAAATGATACATTAATTGCAGTCTGCTCTTAATTGCTTTTCTTAAGCTAAAATAATACAAAAGTCAAACAAAACAAAGGAAAACCAAACCAAACAAACAAAACCCACCCCACTTCATGCTGAAATAAGAGTCCAGGCACATGCACTAGCTTACTAGAAACCTGCTTAAACACACAGCTTCAATTAAAAGGGTGTAATTTTTTTTTTACACAAGCCTCAAGAGATTGCCTTGCCTAGGAATGGTGATGGGGACAGTGGTTGAAGGCCAGCCCCAGGAAAACCTAGCCATGTGACCACATAACCTTTTGGGCTGTCCTTTTCTTCCCAGCTAGCTGTCTGTCCTGCCTGGGAACCTGGCTGCCTCCCTAAGCACACGTAAAGAATGAGCCTTGCTCCCAGCTGGTGTGCTGCAGCTTCACTGACCTCACAACAGCCTCAGTCAAACCCCCGTTATCTTTTTTCTCTCTCCCTTGAAAAAGCAAATAAAACCTCCCAAGCCTCTCCAAAGCCATTTGCCAAGCAGAAATGAGGCAGAAACCCCAAACAGAAACATTGCCACAAACTAGATTATTTACGGGCTCAGGAGAGAGAAATGCAAATACATGCATGGCAATTGCTCTAATCCCTTTAGGTTCTATTTTCTCACCTTTTTGTTTTGGCACAAGAAATAGCCAGCATGTGACAGTAAGGTCAGGGTATCTCTGGTTACAGCAGTGCCCAAGAAGCCTTGTTCTAGTAAAACGACACCACACACAAGCCACATTATATAAAAAGTGAAGGAGGCACAGGCATGGGATATGAAGCACTTCAGACACTACACTTAAATGATGTGACCACTGCTACAGGCTCTGCCCAAAAAGCAGAATCTTAGCCCATACTGAACTTGGCACTGCCATGGCAAAACAATTAGGGATAGCTGGAGAGTCAATTCCACTTCTAGCAGCTGCTGAGCTCATGAAGCTTTCCACACACCTCACAGACCTCTAGTTTGGGCAGATAATGTGAACAGAACTAGGCAGCACTGTCAACATCAGCCACAGGGTAGGGAGAGAGTGAGTAGGATGCCCTTACCCAAAACTTTGTGAGGCAACCACTCCTCCTGCTCTGCACAGCACTCCTGCCAGTGCAACACAGCAAACAGCTGCTTTGGTTTTTGCAGGTGTCTGTAAGAGATTTCACATCCTCGGTGTCCTTCTCTCCTCTTTCTGTTTGGTCTGAATGCTCAAACTACTGGTTTTCACCTGGTTCCCAAGAATCAGTGAAAAAAAAATCAGTGTAGGTTGGTCAAACGTAGCAGAGGCTCCCCAGAAGGTCCATAAACTTTTCACTAAACTGGCCAGAGCTTCAATTTTCTACCACAGTGCCTGAAATCAATTTGTCTGCTTTCCCATTTCACCAGGAGGCTCTTGCACAGCTCTTACACTGATATGGCAGCAAGGACCTTTTGAAGCTACTGATTGGCATGTATTTTCTGTTTATTTTCTAATAAAAAGGAATCATATGCACTAAGCTCTCTAAAAAGCATCTGTGCCAGCACTCAGCCACAGAGGAAAATACTGCAAAAGCCCCTGATGATTTTGCTTAACAATAAATCCAGACAGCTTTGTTTACAAATGGGACTGATCTCTCATTTAACTAACTTTTCAAAGAAAATTTGGGAAAATTTATTAGTCCAGAGACAAATACATTCTCTGAGCTACAGACAGGCCTCTGATCCCTTTTATTTGCATCCAGATGTTTCAAAAGCAGTTCAGTAGACATGTCCCAGTTTTCATTTAGTCAAGGCTTATCACGGTTTATACATTGATCCTGTTCCCACTAAAATTAACCACATCCCCACCAATATCACTCGAAGGAAAAGTCAAAAGGAGTGCTCAAAACTATGTGCTCCTACCAAAAATCACAGCTTTTTCCTTCACAATTTATATTCTCCCTGGACTCACAAATCACGTTTCCATGGTATCACTACAGTAACAAAATGCAAGACTTTACCAAAACCCCTCCAAAAATCCCAATTTGCCTCCCCTTCCCGCTCCTTTTAATACAAACTTTGAACTGTACTTGTGCAAAAGACTGGAAGATGTTGCTTAGAAGTATAATCAAATGAGAACCATCTTCTTCAAATCCTGTTTGCATTCTTGCAAGTGTTGGGAAGCACTTTATGGGACCTTTTTCCCAGAAGAAGGACTTGAGCAGCTGTAAGTTCCCAGTCCCAAGGAAAGTCTGGTTGGTGAGAAGCAGGATGAGCTTTGGCAGGGATTACAGCACTGGAGGAGAACACGAAGGAAAAAGTTTAATTGATTTTTGTGACAGATTTCAGCAAAGGCTTGAACTTCTGTCTCCTACATCACACTCTGGTGCTCTCCTCTCATGATTAAGTTAATCACCATTTGTTTTCTCCTTTTTCTTCTCACTTTCTACATCTTTAAACACTGGTCAGGAGGGGAGCAGCCCCAGCCAGTAGTCTCAGAGGGGCTTCACTGCATCCAGGTCCAGGCTTGAAGTCAGTTGCCCCCTCACCTCCCTCTCCAGCAGACAGGCTTTCATCTCCTGAAATCTCCCCTTCTCGGGTTTCTTCCCACCATCATTTACAAAACTCTGCTTTTGCTTTGATGAAAAATGAAAACCAGACTTGCCAATCCTCACTTTTTCATCAGGAAATCTTCCATCACCATGTCCTGCCAATCCCAATTGTTGTCTTATTAACAAGCAAGTATTTCAAGGGTGCAGCCTGTCTCACCAGTACTGGAAATTAAGGTGGGAATTGTGGAGCAAGGACACGACATGCAACACAGTGAGGATCTAGGTGAGGAGAAAATTGGAGCTATCAAGATTTATACAAATGTGTTTCTATAGTACAGATTATGATTCTCACAGAACAGAGAATATTTCAAAAAATGAAATTGTCCTGAAAAGAAAAATAAATGGAAAAAGTACAAATAGGAGAAGGAGACAAAATGAAGAGACTTGTGAAAGAAAGGGACCTTTAAAACACAATGATGGGGCAGGCTATAGGGAATTTAAATACCAGCCTGCAATAAACTCCGTGTAACATGATCCCTGAACACAGCCCAGCTCTTAGGGAGGTTTCAGCTACACTTTCCAGGCATATCTCTTCGACCTTGTCTCTGTCACATAAACGAACTGAAATGAACATATGTTTTTAAGTTTGTTTCTAAAATAACCAGACCGAAGCAGAAATACTGCACTGCCCACACTAATTCTCCCCCCACCTTCCTCAGGGGAGAGAGCAGAGAAAAACCATGCGTGTTAGTCACATCAGATGAAGTGCTACAGTGACGAAGATTTATACAAAACAGAGACAAAAAAAGCCTGTCAGGTCCCAGCTGCGGGTGAGCAATGAGCTGTGAGACCAGGAAGGTGACATTGTGCCAAGCCCCGCTCACCTTTAGCCTTGACAGGCTCCCCAAAGCACACACACCAGCCCTGCAAGTGTGCAGGAAATCCCCAGGCACGCTGCAGGGACGTGTCAGCCTTCTGCAACACACAGAGATGAGGATGTGCACCAAGAGCACCCCGCAAATGGATTGGGTAGGGGGGGAAGGTATTGCCACCCCAGCCTCTGCTGTCCTCTCACAGACAGAGGGAGAGCACATCCATGGCACAAAGGTAACAAAGAGATGCTTTTGTCTCTCAGAGGATGCTACAACAGGTCAAGGTGTGCCCTGACAGGCTCATCTAAAGATCAAGGATCCTGGGGTTTTAATCATAGTGACCACTGAAAAGGAATTACCCCTGGTATGAACAAAGGGTGAAGGGATCCTTTGGTGGATGAAGGGATAGGGAGCAGCCCTGAGGAGGACTTCGGGGTACTGGAGGGTGAAAGGCTGGACATGACCCAGCAGTGTGAACTTGCAGCCCAGAAACCCAAGTGCACCCTGAGCCCCATCAAAAGATTCATATTTCTCACGTGAATGCAAGTACAAGCTACCCACGAAAGCAAAGTGTGACTGCACCTACATCCACCCATCTCCTTTCTGCTCTAGACACTGCAGATTCTTTTCCTGTCATGGGCTGCTTGCTCCTTGAAATATAGGCTGAATGCTTTCCATGGGAAAAAAAGGACATTTTACACCTTACGATAAGGGGAATTATATACCTGAAATGAAAGCTTGGTTTTTAATGTAATTCAAGTATTCAGACATATGGATTTTCTGATAATCAGTATAACACTCAGAAAAGGTCTCACTTCTCTGTTTGGAGACTTGAAGGTTTTAAGAAAGGCATATCTGAAAGACACATCGTCAAATTAGTAGGAGAACCCAAACTTTCCTGGCCAAAATGTCACTTATTGAGGCTTCAATTAAGATTTAAAATACTCCTGTAAATGAAGGAAGATAGGAAAAATGAATTTCTGCTTAGGAGCATTTTATTCCTTGTCTGCCCACAGCAGTACTGTGCATAACTAGCTGAATTTCTGTCACAGTATTGGCTCAGCATCAGCAGAGAATATATAGCAATTTACTTCTTAAATGGTTAAAAATTTCAGTTATCTAGCACTTCAAAGGCACTTTGACTACAATGGAAAAAATTTACTTTGTAAAATCTTAGAAAGCTTAAATTGGCAGTGTCTCTTTAATTGGCTTTAAAACATTTAATAAAAGTTTTATGATACAATCCTACAGCCACCATTAATCCCATATGGCTGTGAGAGATACCACGCAGCCTACAAAAGCTGGAAGAGAACATTCTGTTTTGTTTCCCATCTATTGATGTTTACTAAACCAATTACAGGAGATTTAAAAAATCATCTCACAAGAAGAAGCTGCTGCAAGCTCCCTTTCTTGTTATAACAGGCAATCCTATGATTTATTCTGGGTTCTAGCCCCAGCTCTGCCCCAACAGTTCTTCCAGTCTTATGCAAACAAAGGATTGTTCACGTCTTTCTATTTCCTAATCCCAAACGGGATCACCACCATTTGATTTGCAGAGATGCTACACAATGCCTTGGAGAGAGGACCTTAACATCATGTTGCCTCGTTGCACAAGATGACAAAAGGCATGGAAAAGTGGTAGGGCAGAAGGATGAGGCTTTAATAAAATGTAGGTATTTGGGCACGGGCTTGAGTGGACCTTACAATGAAGTTTTAAAAGCAAGGTGGCAGGGAAGTGATAGGCTGGTAGAGCTTGGCAGAATATGATAAGCTCATCTCACAGCACATCAGCAGAGTTCTCAATCTGCCAAAGTACATATGAACATAAAAAATTCAGTGGCAATTTGGGAAAAGAAAAGCAGAAGATGGGGAAAAAAATCTTCTGTCTGCAAAGCAGAGAGGTAAAACATGTCCTTTGGTCTGCATGCAGCACCTTGGTACAAAATGTGGGATGAAGAGCTGCACACAGCCATAAATCCCACCAGCCCTGCCAGAACCTCTGCTCATAAAGCATGGGTGCTCAAGTGGGGCTTCACATCCTTTGGCAGCACCGCTCTGCTCCCACCATCACTGCCCTCCTCCCGGGCTGCCAGCTCCGGGACAAGGACTAACCCACGCAAAGATGAGCTTATCTGGCCTTTTACAGCACCCAGGCACAATTTAAAAAACATGCAAGCAGGCTAAAACACATCAGTGTGATGTTTTAAAGCCTACTCTCCTAAATTCCCTGTTCCTTTTGACACAGAGCTTTGCCCACTAGCAGGTGGGACCAGCAAAACCCACAATACCATCTGTTTTTAAAGCATCCACAGGAAATATCTGCAAGCAAAGAAACCAGCAGGAGGTCAGACTTTACCTGTGGGGTTCTCTTTACCAGCTAATAGTTTCCTCCTCCTGACATTGGCTCCTGCCCAAGTGAGATGTACTTCAAAGGGAGAGATTCTCCAGTAGGGACTTGAAGCTGGAAGTGCTGTGGCCAAAGGGGACTGGACACTTTGGGACCCTCATCTCCAAGCCTGTGCTGCTTCCATTCTCTTGAATAGAAAAAGATAAGGAAAAGAGACTGCAAATGCCTCCTCCCTGTTATTTTATCTTGCAGCCAATTGACATGTGATGTGCTGTATGAAAATGATGTGTGTTTTTCATGCTGTCCCGACTGTAAGAAGGTGCTGGTGCAGCCCTGCTGCAATTAGTCACTTGTGTCTGCTTGTTGCTGGAGGCAAGGAAAGAAACAACATGCCAGTGAGGCTCCTAAAGCAGGTAACATGGAAAACAGCTGTTTACCCAGTGCAAGGAAGTAAAATGATCATTCATCAGAGCTGAACTAAGAACGCCTGTACAGCCCTGAGACTGACCCAAGGGAGCTGTGCGAGGTTACATGTCAAGTAATCATGGGAGTTGGCAGGAATAGTGGTGGTGCACTGAGGTGAACCCGTGACCAAGCTCTGCATTAAAAAGAGGCAAGAGATATCTCACATTTTTGGAACATGCTAAGATCTGGTGATGAGTCCCAAGAGCCTGATTTGAAGTAAGGGACTCTCAAAATACCTTAGTTGCATGATACAGGCAGTATCCTCCCACAGTAGCTATCCCTATTCTGGGTGAGGAAGAGAGTTTACACAGAGGGAGCCACCACCACTGCTCCCTTGAGATGCAGGAGGGGCTGTGAACGCACAATCAGCTCTTCCCAAGCTGCCCCTCCTGCCACTGCTTACTCACACAGGGTATCTCCCACCAGCATCAGGTGGATGGCGTGCTGGAAATCATCAAGACAGGGCTTAGATTTGCAGGATGGCAAAGGAGAGGGGTTTATACTAGACTAGGATCAAATAGCAGGCCAGACTAACTGAGGTGAGCTATGAGGACACTTACTCAGGGCCAAAGGTTAATGCCTCCCCACATGGCAAGGGCTGGTATCTGAGGAATCCAGAGGCCACCATGCAGCTACTGACCTTTGGCTGAGGATCTGAGAGGCAGCGCTTACCAGCTCCCTGGTTGGTCAGGTGCCAGAGCAGACAGTCAGGAGCAAAAACTAAGACACTGTTGCTAGAAAAAAGTGATAAATCAGTAAACAGTGCCAGGGGGAGGAAATAAAGCTGGCTTCTGGCTCAGTTTGCTGCTAACACCAACCGGAGCATGAAGACATTGGCCAAAAGGGAGCAAGCTCATGAGACAGTGTCTGTATAAATGACACTGGTAAAGGACTAGAGCATTACCTTTCCAAAGGATTAGGAGGATTACTTGTTCAAACTGAGCATCTCTTTTCCTTTCCCTGCAGTTTCTGATCCTCCAAAGGAGCTCCTCACCCTCCACAGGGATTTTCAGCCCGTAAATAACGATCCCTGGATGCTAATGGAGCAACTCGAGCTCCCAAAGTGGACACCAAAAGGGAAAAGGGTGCATTTTAGGTGTTGTACTGCTAGTGTTGGCCCCTCTCCTGCTGTGACATGGGAAACACAGTGGTGGTGTATAAACAGCTTGGCTAATTTGTCTCCTGTGTTGTGAGATTTTGCTTCCTCTGCTGTCTGTGTGGTGCTGCTTCTGGTACAGTATCCACCACAGCTTCACCCAGTGGCTACAACCCAAACCAGAGGGGGAGTTAAACTGCTGAGCAGGCTCTGGCTATTTGTACAGCCATTCCCCCAGAGAAGCACCCCACAGCACCCAGCACAAGGGATGTGGCAGTGCCATTCCAGGGGATGCCACAGCCCGGGGCCCTGCACCTGTCCCAGGGCGGCATGGGAACAGTGATGGACCAGGATGGCCACGGGAGGCTGGTCCCTGGGGAAGCCCCTGTGCCTTGATGTAGTGTCAGCACATCCCCACAGCCACAGGAGTGGTGGGAGCATAATCTGGAGCAGCTGCTGGCATTCTTCTTGTAACCCAGGAGCGATCAAAGGCTTGCAGTGGCTTCACTTTTCCAGTGTTACCAGAAGCAATGGAACAGCATCAAGGACACATCGGAATTTCCCTTTTATCGCAGCTGTAGCCACAGAGCATTTACAGGAAGCAGAAGGGATAAGTGACCCAGCCATCAAGTATTTTTCTAAATCTCTCCACAGGCACAAGTGGTAGGCACATTTTCTCCCTGTCCTCATGCTCTCCTCAGGGATCCAGCAGAAGTACTGTACCAGTGCTAGAAAAGTCAGGCCAGGTGAGGTCTTTGGAGGACAGATACTGCTTTGCAGGACTTGCAGTGAAGAGTTTCACTAAAAGTGTATATATATCATTACCAAGCTGTAGGTCTTGAAAGTTTGAAAGCAATCTTAGGTCTTTCAAAGAAGAATTTACCAAGAACTAGTCCCAGACATAGAAGTTATTGGAATAAAAAAAGAACATGTCACTTAAGCATTTCATTGTTTGCCAAGTAGTTTACATGCACCAGTGGGAGCTAGGGGAAAAAAAAGGTGTTTGCGTAAAAACTACTAGGAATGCCCATTACATCACACTTCCCAACAAAGCCCAGGCTGTTATCCTGGCAGTGATCAGCCTCATTGTGTAACAAACATCACCAAAGGGAAAAGATCACAAATGCTTCCATATGAGGAATCCCTTGGTCACTAAATGAAGGAATCACGCAGGCAGCATAAGGTACCACTCATCAGGTGCCTTTGAGAAGTATATTGGGATATATGTGATGATTATTGCGATAATTTGTGAAAATACAAGGGTTTTTTTAAACTGGAGAAGTGTTCTCCAGGTCAGCTTATATAATTTGTGGCAGAAGTAGCTAAAAAAGCAATCTCACTTCATGTATAGGACCTCTACTAAGCATACACAGACCTTAGAGCTTAAGAATGAAGCTAGAAGTTTTCCTTCACGTGTGTTAGTTTATTACAGGTAATGGCAAAATAGAAAATAAATATTAGTCTTGACACGTGCTACCAAAATCTCTAAGCTAAATAGTTGAAAATACATCAGTAGATATTCCACATGCAGGATGGACACATGCTATTTTATGTGAGTTATTAAAGGACTAGGCTGAAAATATGCAGACTTTAAGACCTTGTTTTAAGAAATTTTAACTAAAAACACATGCAGAGTATGCATTCTAGCAGACAATTACACAGAGTGGAGCACGACTCATAGAGAAAATAGAAACTATAGCAGTATGCACTTACATATACACGTATTATAAAATACAAGTATTATAAAAGTATTTTTAATTTTTCTTTTTTAAAAAAGCTAATTTTTAGGCACTACAGGTCACCCACCTCTAGAACCTCACTGATCTAACCTACAATGTGTAACACACCTAGATCAAGAAGATTCAGGAGAATTCTATTTTTAACACATTCCTCTGTCCAAAACAAGTTTTAAAAAAAAAAAAAAAAAGGGAGGGGGGCAACCCATGAATATCCAAGGAAACACAAAATCTGAATGATGACAAGGCCAGTCCTTCTCAATCAATGACTCTTTCTCCTTCCTTCCAAGAACTGGGGATTCTATATTTAAAGGCTTCACACATTTTCTTCTGTTCCCAGGATACTTAGCAATTTGAGATAAAATGAGTAAAAAGGTGACCTCTTTACTTTAAAAGATCCCTTACCAGCTTTGCCCAGGTAAGGAGGCCATTCAGTACTTTCTTTACCTGAGATTTCAGCAATTTTTTAACAGCTAGAAGCCTCAAATGTCTGACCCACTTTTCCTGCAAAAAACTTAGATCTAATTCTTCTTTTAATTTTTTAAATCTATCTTATTTGTGTGGAGATTCAGGGCGTGGGGAACAGAACACATATAAGATATTGCTTTTGAAATCCCTGCTCTTTACTTAGGTCTGAGATGACTAACACAATTCTAAAATCCTGCACCATCAAGACATGAATCACAAACCTACCTTAGCTGCTTCTGAAGGTGTTTTTGCGTGATTTAAGAGCTTCACTAGAGAAGGCAAACTTGTGTTGATAGGATGGCAGCACTCATTACTTGCTAGTCAGGCCAGACTGAAACTTCGTTGGTTTTGTTTCCTAGAGAAAGAATTGAGATCACATCTGCATTTTATAAAAGCTCCTGAATTGTTACTGATCGACAATGACCAGCAGCCAACGCTTTGCCTCTAGAAACTTACATTGTTTTGCAGTCAGAGTTGCTAGATACCATGTCCTCATAAAAAGTCTGGTTAAGTCATTTATGCTCTGAAATTGAAAGCTGCGCTTCCATGAACAGCTAACAGATATTATTGCTAACAAGAATTACATGTGACAGGCTCCAGGCTCCATTATTTGGCTTCCTTTGTTCTTTAAAGGATACTCATTATCAACTGAAAACCTGCTAGTATTTCTAGATTCTATGAAATAAGCTTTCTTTTTTAGTTAGTAACTTGGATGTGAAGGGGGGAAAATGCATTTCCCTGTGTGTTTTCTGGGGTTTCATATAAAATCTGCAAAGGCATTGGAACAGTAGGGTAGGGAGCTAGAGCAGCTATCTGTGGGACTTTAAAAGTCTCATGTGTAAAGGGTGTTCATAGTATTTTCTGTCAGTTAAGGTGCAGGAGTGGAGGGAAGGACTTGTAAAACCCTCTGCCTGTCTCCAATTTCCTGGGCAAGCACATTGGCTAGTTTTGTAAGGACCAGACTAGCAGTGAAGCTGGAAGTGAGGCCACTTTTGCCTATCACCCTGATGGGTGCTGAGGGCTTGTGCCTGTGGCAGGGCAGGAGTATCTACCTGGTGTGTCTGGCTTGCCTCACCGGTGATGGACCACTTTGCCTGCCTGTTCCTAGAAGCACAAGTCCTTCTCCTGCCCAAGCTCCCCGTTCTGTGCATTATGGCAAGTCCATCAATCCTTCTTTCACAGCTGTCGTTGAAGGCTGTCACATATCAGGCTTGTGTACTCCTGCCAGAGGGGCTCCTTGCACTTTCTCCTCTCCCCAGGACAGGCACCGCAGCACGGCCGTGCTCTGCTCGGCTCGGGATCACACGCAGCTCCAGGCACGTGTGGCTCTCTTGCCAGAGCACATGAGTAAACTGGATGTGCTCCGAGCCCAAAGCTAATGAGTCAAAACCTTAAAACTCCCCAAAAGATGCTGGATTGAGAGGAATTATGGAAAAGCAGGTTGTGGAGTGGACTTGGAGCATAGAAGTTAAGGGATAGAAATCAGCCACTGGGCAGAAGAGCCTCTTCATGGAATGCTAGCATGGGACTGGAAATAAGTAGGTCTCTGAATGTCCTCTGCCACATTAGACTCCTCTACTCACCCCATTTCCATCTCTCCATGTGTTTGCTCCTCTGTTGGAAATACAACAGAATGATGGCTATTGCTTAGACATGCAGCTGGCATCGACTTGTCCTCCTACAGAGTGTGCTTGGCACAGAGACCGGAGATCGAGCAGCTCCTGTAGCAAGAAAGAGATAATCACCTTCACGGCAATAGGGGAGCATGGAGGTTCTCACTGGTTTTCCTTCCTCCTGCAGGTACCCACAGATCCCAGCAACACACAGACAGGTCTAGGAGGATGAGCAGTAACTACAGTCAGGCTGCAGTCTGCCTCAGTTTCTCCCCCTTCAGATGGAACCCAGGCACCTTAGAGGTAGCTCTTTGCACTGTGCTGTCCGCATAAAGCACAAGCTCTGAGACAACCTCAGTCACACTCAGTCCACTTTCCAAGGAGCATTTTACACACACCACCTTTGTCCTGCAGGACATCCTAACTAGAATTTTTTGTGTTGGGATCTACTTGGCTTGCACTTAGTCCTGAACTTCTTGGAACATTCCTAAATGTGGAAGTGGCACTTTTCCCATCTTCTCAGGAGACCTTTGCAGGTATCTAGCCAGTAACACTAAAAGGGTCTCATGGTAGGGTATTCTCCAGATAGGTTCCCAGCTCTAGCAGCAACTAACCTTTCCCCGAATGCAAACTAGTGCACACCTATTGATTTAAAGAACTTTCAGAGATAACTTCTCATTATGGATCTATTAACTCCTCTTGGAATTGCATAACCTGATGAACTATTACCATGCACAGAAAGCCAAGTAGGGTATTAGAGGAAATAAAATAAACTGCCAGGCAAAGAGCATTGTTATGGCTGCGAAATAATGTCCCCTGAGGGCTTAATTGCAGGTTGATCTAGGAAGGCATAAAAGACCATTCATTTCCAGATCAAATGGGGAGAACTCAGCATAGATGTCACAAAGCAGGTGGCCCCGGGTTTTTTATGAGGACCAGAAAAGACAGTAAGAGCTGCGTGATGAATTTTATAAAGGGTATTGTCTCCTTCTGGGTTATCAGCATTAGGAGATACATACATTTTTTACACTGTGGAGCAGAACCAGACCGTGAGGAACTTGAGTCCATCACTGTAACTTGGGACTCACACTGAGGCAGAGAAACTACTCACCAGTCCTTGCCTCTACAGCAGTGAGTTTCAATCACTGGAATAGAGAGGTGGAAACTGTTCTACACCTCTGTGGGGAAACTTCCAAGACCTGCCACCCCAAACCACGGGAAGCCGGTGCCCTGCTGCCGGCATCTCCAGGTAGGGCAGCCCAGGCGGGCTCCTTGTCCACGGGGCAGCAATGCCCCAAGCCGCTCCAGCTGCTGGTGGTCCACGGGCCGGCCTTGAGGGGAGCACGGAGCAGCCCTCGCCGTGCGCGCAGCCCCGCGGGGGTCGCGGCGGGGCCGTCACCGCGCGGGGCGGTGCGCGGGGAGCCGGTGGCCGCGGGGCCGGGGCGGGGCCGGGGCGGTGCGCGGCGGGGCGCGGTGCAGGGCAGCCGCGGGCACACGTGGCTCAGCCCCCCAAAAAGGCGCTCCCCGGCGGCGGGAGAGGGCAGTCCGTCCCTCGGTCCCCCCCAGAGCCTCCGCCGGTCCGCTCCGTCCAGCCGTCGGTGAGCACCGGTGCCAGGGGCCGCGGTTGGCTGCGAAGCGGCGGCTCCCGCCCCCTGCGGAATCAGCCCCAGGTCCGGGGCGGCTCTACCTGCCGGCACGATGAACCTCACCGCCGAGAGCCACCGCATTCCGCTGAGCGACGGCAACAGCATCCCGCTCTTGGGGCTGGGCACCTACGCCGACCCGCAGAAAGTAAGTCCGGGGGCGCCGGGACGCGCCGCTGGCGGGGGCAGGTGCGGGCTGCCCTGGCTGCAGCCCCCCGAGCCGCGGGTACCCTCCTCCTTTCCGCCCGTCCCGGCTGCTTCTCTCATTGCTCCTTTCCCCGTGCGAACTTAAAGACTCGGCTCTACCGTGAGCAGCGCGGGCAGTGCGCGGCCCGCAGATGAGGAAAAGGTGGGAAGAAATAAGAAAAAAAAAAAAAAATCCCGCCCAGTTTGCGGTGTGCTGCGGCCGCCGCTGTCGCCCACCGCCCCGCGCCTCTGGGGGCAGGGGCGCGGGGGACCTGGAGTCGGGACGGTGCCGTGCAATGCCCGGTTCGGGAAGGGATGGGACCCCCGGCAAGGCGGCCGGGAGCCCTCGGCTTCCCGGAGCCAGAAGGGACGGTGCCATCGGCTCCCCTGCCTTGCTCCCTGAGCCGAGCGTAGATAAGATGAGGGATTTCGGACCGCCCCGCGGCTGCCCCCGATACTTTCCAAGTAATGTTCCTGAAACAAAGACCCAAATTCCTGCATCCTGATTCCTGCGGCTCCCACAGCCGACTGCCAGCGGCCAAACCACTCTCAAATATTCTGCATCCTTCGGTTTTGCGCCGGGCAGGCATCCCGTCTGACCGTGCCGGTCGGCTGCACCCGTGGAGGATGGGGAAGCACACCTGATGCTTCTTTCCTCTGAGGACCTGGGAGCGCAAAGGCAATGCGGTAGCCACTGCCTTTTAAAGCTCTCCTAATCTGCCTGATCTTTCATCTTTTTTGTTTGTTTGAAGAGTTGGAAAAGAGGCATCGTGGCCAGAACCCTTCTTGTGTAATAGCTGCGATGCAATGTGTGTTGTATGACTCCACATATCACAAGGTATTTAAAAGTACCTTTGTAAAGAAAAGTCTTGATTAAAGCCATTTACCAACCACTAAATGTACCATGGTGCATCAATAATGGTGTCGAATTTTCAACAAACGCTACTGCAGGCAATGCATGAGTGCTGCAGAAGGGGTGTAAGATGTCCCCAGGACTGTAGATCTCACTGGTTAAAGATGCAGGTTTACGTGGGGAGAATTGAAAGGAATTAATGACTTCAGAGCCTGGGCATCGTCCCCCACATCTCTAAACTTTCAGGAGATATTTTCAGCGAGTGTATTTGAATAATGGTTAGTGAAACAAAATTAAGGTCTCTAACAGGAGTTTTGATACAGCAAAGCAGAATGTTGCATAATTCAGTGTCAAAATATCTCTGAGTGAACTTGAAGCATCTTTTTCCAGACGTGTACATCATGCCCCCAACCCTCAGGTTGCAATTTTTCCCCTAGTTTTAAGTTAAGAAAAATGCAGCTGCCAGCACAAGAGTCGTACCTCGCTGCATTTCCCGCCTGCAGCCCGGACAAACCGTGGCACAATACAGTGACATCAGGCAGGGAGCCCAGAGTGGCAAGTAAACTGATGGAGCTGAGAAGGGAGCTGGATGGGATTCCCCTTATGGAGGCAGCTTCTCGGCACTGCTGTTACCCTGCTAAGAATTCATTCTGCAGAAATTCAGCTGTCCCAAAATCAACAGAGCAACAGATGTGCTTCTTCTCCACTCCCCCCCCCCCCCGCCCCCATTCTGCAAAATCCTGACACTTCTTTCCTTTGCCCTCCCTTGGTTCGAGGTGTACAGCGAGCCTTTACGTGGAGCTCAATGAGCCAAAATGAATCAATTTTAGATAGGGGTGGTTTTCAGCCGAATCAGCCCCAGGTAGTGGCATTTTGCTTTTCTCATATACATCCTTTGATTTCTGCAAAGAGAAGGTAGGGAGGACAGGATAATGCAGGCAGGGCAGGCATTGCTACAGCAACTCCAATTTAGAGCAAATGAAGCCACCGTGTAACTGTACCCTCAGTGGGGATGGGTGCACATATCCAACCACCCTTTCTCCTTCCCCCTGCTTTTGTAGGAGTTTGATTTTCTGAGCTTTCTCCTTCCACACGATAAACACGTTAGAAAGTTATGGGTGGGAGGAGGAGCTGAGAAGAGGTAGAGAAAATAGCAGTGATAAGGCACTTGCCACAGTCTCATTTTCACAGAAGACCAGGTGAAACAATGTGTGTTTATCTGGTGGAGCTGGGCTGGGGCTTTATGCTAGGATTAGGACTGCTATTTGAGTCGAAGAACTTGTCACAGAGAGCAGCTGGGGAAACGCAGCGGCAGCAGTGTGCTGTGGGATTTGTTGCAGAGTTGTGCTGCTGGTTGGTGATGGGGCAGGATGTTTAAATAGGTCACGGCTTAAAATTTGCCTGCAAAAGGGCTGCTTTGCTGATAAGGGGGGTATGGAGAGGGGGCTTCTGTCAACTCCTTGCTGTGTCAGCGGAGTGCTGCTTGGCTGGGACAAGCTGCTTTGCCGAGTGCTGACTTGTGCCTGTTGCAACTCCCAACGGGATGCCTGGCGAGGTGTCTGTCCTGTTCCCTCCTGCCTCAGCAGCTGAAAGGCTTTGTGGTAACCTAGGACCGTTTCAAGGTTTATCTTGAGGAGTGAGGCTATAAACTAGCGCTGACACGTTTCCCTTAAAATGCTTAGCTGTAGCCTTTTGTGGCTGAATTGCTTAAGAAGCAGCATCTGAGCCACCCATTCTCCAGCGGTGGGGGCAGGCAGCTGGTGGTAGCGACAGCTCAAGCCAGCCCCAGCACTCTATTTCTGCTCATGAGTCAGATCCCTGCAACTTCTAGCTATTTTGTGCTTTGATATAAAATACAGAGCCATTCACTTGTCAGATTATTCATCTTGCTCTTGGAGGCAGGTTTTTGATTTCATGCTAGTTTGTGTTGATATTTTTTCCCCAAAGGTTATTCACCCTGGCACCTCCATGTCAGAGCAGTTTGTCCAAAACAAATCTGTTTTCTTAGTGTCAGGCTGTAGCCCAGTAGCTCGTAATGAGCCCAGAGTTTTCTTCCTGAAGTGCAGGAATGTGCTCGCTGGTTAAGCCAACCAGGCAGATCTAGTTAGCCATGGAACAGGGAAATCTGCTTCTCCGGCAGTCAGTTAGAAGAAAACAAAGGCACAAGGCCAGCTTTCACGTTTCAGGCTTTGTCTGTGTAAACTGAACAGCAGTGCCTTCAAAACTGAAATGTGTCAGCAGCTTGCCTTGCTCCTCTTAAATAACTTAATTGTTCTCTGAAAGGCAATTTTGGGAGATAAGTCATGCTCCTCTGGTTGTGAAATACTCAACAAAAAACACATCTATTGACAGAAAGTCCCGTGTAAGAGTTTACTGACTTGAAGTAGTACATCACTCAAGAGGAGCAGAGCTGGACCACTGTGGAAAAGGTCTGTTTGATAATCAAACTCATTTTAATTGAATGCTCTTTCCCCCTAGATGTAAGAGAGCCTTTTTTTCTGACTGGGTAGAGGTTGGGATGACAATTCAGCTAATTCTTTGAGGCTGAAAACTGCAACATTGGGGGTTTCTTTGTGCTTTACTCTCCTACCACAGCAAGAAAGTATAATGAATCCATTGGCTATCAGTTCATCTGCTAACAGGAAGGAGACTTCACTGGGTCACAGAATAGAATTAGTCATAAACTTGGGTTATTTATCAAGAGAATCACATAAAATTTTTTACAGGGTTAATTCATGTCTCCTGTACTTATTTGAAAAAAATAAAGGAATGCAATAATTGCAGAACTGTTAAGCTTAATTTTTTTTTGCAGGCATATTTCAGTGTGTTGAAGTTGGTTTTGCATTCTCCTTCATGCAAGGAAGGAAATGTATAATTTGTATTAGATTCTTACCTACATAAAAAAATTAGGCAGTTTATCCTACCAAGGATGGACACAAATGAAAAAGTGAAATGTCAGTCACTGACTCCTTCCCTTTTCTTTCTTCCCTTCCCCAAATACTCCTTCTCCTCATGGGTTTGGGTGGGAACCACAGTGGGAACTGTGAATCAGGACTACCAATGCGCTCCAGACAGCTTTAAAATTTGAGGCCAATTCTACCTCTGTTTGGCTCTGTGGATCCTTCTGGCAAAGTCCTGTGAGTGCAGGAGCGGCTCTGCCAAGGCTCCAGCTGATGCACCGTGCCCAGCTCCCCCTCCCTGAGGGCCCCCAAGCCGTTGACCCAATTCTCCAGGGTATTAAATAGGTGGTGGGAGGAGGGAGAGGGCAGTCCAACAGGGGAGGGTGGTAGAGGAGGACAGGCCCCTGGATGAGCCCCTGTGCTACAGGAGAACCAGACCAGTCCATGGCAGGCTCCCACCACCTCCCAGCACCGATTCTTAGCTCCCAGCACAGCCCATTGAGTGGCACTGGTACCCATCTGGAAGCAGATGAAGTGTGGGGACGAGAGTCTTAGAGGGGAAAGGTGCTAAAAACACTCCTAAATCCTGGAAATCCTATGCCTCGTTAAAACTGCACTTATGCCTTCTTCACTTTATAACTCATCCCTGTCAACACAGCTAAAATCATCCATCCAGTGTCTCCACATAAATACTCGCTGTTTCCCTGGAAGGTCAAGGGGCCTTGGCCACAGCTCCTCTCCTGCCTTCCTGTTTTGACTGAGGGAGGACAGGGCTTGGAGAGAAGGTTGTAGCAACCGCACTGTACACAGGCGCTGCTTCTGAAACATAAGATTGGGCAAAGCACTCAAGAATAGCACTGGGTGAGGGCTTCTGGCAAGTTGCGACTTAGCTAAAAATGAGGTTCTGAGGTAGCCAAATCCATTCATAAATTGGAAGCAGTTTTGTGGAATAGTTTCAGGCAAAACAAATGGCAAAGCATTTCATTTTGGGCACTGGCAGTACAAGCTGAGGAATCAAAGAATTATTAAAACACTTGGAGGTAGCAGTTGACTTTCCCTGAATATCCTGCTGGTAAGGGAATCCACATGGGCGGTGGGAAACCAGATTCAATCCTCCTCTCAGCCTCTGGGAATTAAATTCGTATCAGACAGCTCAGGGAAATAATGTGCTTGTGGGGTAGGTGATAGCTAGAGAGAAGCAAGAAGGAACACGCACAGGCTGGAGCAGGAGGAGCACCCTGCCCATGGGAAAGCGCGCTGCCCACCAGCCCCACAGCGCTGGATGCTGAAGAACTTGGTATGGCATCCAGCCAGGAGGAAGAGAGACCCATTTCCCCAAATCTTTAACTACCACAAAGTAACCCTTGTGAGTGCCCAGACAGTCTGGGATTTGTCTAAGAAGAAATTGCTGGTTTGAATCAGGGAGAGGAAAAGTTCATCCAGGGCTCCCAGATCCAGTCTGAGTGATCAAGTTAAAAAAATCTGGTTTGGATAAGTAAAAACACTGTTTTGGCACTCTGAATTACTTTTTACACCCAAGCTAGAAGCTGAACAGAGTAATTTTTCATTGTACAGGTCTAACCGCCTCCAATGCTCTCATAGGATCACTTATGCCAAGAAGTTCCTCGCACAAGGATGTATATGCATAAACTTTTTCAATCATTCTGAATGGTGCTGGCTGCACCCCTGCTACAGGCTGCCTGCCCTTGGAGCTGTCATAGGCTGCTGTTAAGTCAAAAGAGGTAATAAGTAATTTGTCCCCTTGATGGGATCTGGATCTCTCAGCTGCAGTAAGGGAGGAATTACACACAACTTAATCCTCCCAGTTCTCCTCCTAGAAAGCCACCACTGGCTTCTGAAACAGGATTGTCTGGAAACAGCAATGACTTCAGGCGACTTGTAAAGCAAGTCACCTGCCCTGACCCAAAGCTACAAAATGAATCATGTATTGAATGTTCCTGGGAGAAGTGACACCCGAGATCTCCGCAGAGACTGTTGAGCTTAAAGGCTTCAGCTTCTTGATTTCTTACCTGCAAATTTCTCCTGCTTTGACTCAGACAATTGTCTTCCTCCTGAGGTAAACTTGGCTTCTGGATTTTTTCTTGAAAGAGATGAGAGGCAGTGACAAGAGCAGGAACGGTTCTAATATCCAAGTGTTCTTGCAGCCTTATCTTATTTCCCATTACATGCTATTAAAATAAATATGTAAAGAAAATACCTCAGTCCTTTAAATGTAAATGATTACACATGAATATGTGTTTGAACTCAGCAAGTACTGAGTATGAAGTTAGCTCTCTAATGAAGTTAGCTCTCTAATGGAGTGATCTTTATGAACCTACATGAAATTACCAGAGATGTAGGCCAGGAAATTATTTTTTTCAGAGGTAAAATATTGGGAACCCGATTTGAACAGAGCTGGGGGAATCAGCTGGGATATTTGGTTACAAAACCTCATATTCATGCCTTGAACTTAAGAAGTAAATAAAATTCCTGAAACAAAATAATTTTTTTTTAAATTATTGGGTTATATCTCCTAACCAGCATTTCCAAAAGACATTGTGTCCCTTCACAGTCCCTTTTGGTAGCCATCACTGGCTTTCACAAGCTCTTTGCATTTTAAGCAGCAGTATTATTTCATGCAGTACTAGTTCTTCTTGTCTTCAGGGAGCGCTTTGGAGCAGCACAGCCACGACTGGTCGACACGTAGCAACATGAGATCTCTCAGGCTTGGGATTTCTGAGGTGTTTCAGAGGGTAGCCTCATGCTCCCTTGGTCTCTGAGGATATTCTAAAATTATATGTTCAAGTGGTGATTTCTACACTTGAGTCAGGGCTGAAGGGAAGGAGACACATTACAGCAGCTCAGAAAGACAACTGTGCCTGATCTGCTACATGTCCTGGAAGGCTCCTTGCCTGCCTGTTAGTAAACTCTTAGCCTAGCCTTCACACTGAACAATATTTATCCTGAAACCCAATATCTGCAGCCAGATCGCTCACAGAGTCGTGACTCAGTTAGTTTTGTGCTTGAAGGACTCAGCCATACTGAGGCAATTCTGCTTGCACAGACTGCAGATGGCATGCCTTCCTTCAGCGGCTGGTATCCTGGTGTTGAGTGATACCCTCATTGATTAATTGCTCAGATTTTATTCCCTAACTAAATTACTGGCAAGACTCAGTTGCCAAGAGCAGACAAAGGCAGGATTCTTGATATTTGGTGCCCATATGCCTTGAGGAGGTGCAGCAGCGGGCATCAGCTTTTAGCAGGCAACAGACCAACTTGTCTCTTGGGCAGGAGCTTGTGCAAGGAGTCAAGAAGCTGCAGTGATTGGGCTCTAGTATTGCCTTAATTCATCCCTGCTGTTTGCTACAGACATGGCAAATATTCCAAGGAATAAGTGGTTTCACACATGAAAGAGTGCTTTCACAGATCAAACTCCTTTTAACCAAGAGGCGAGGTTACACACCAAAAGGTTAAACTAAATCAAAAGAGTCTTAGAGCAAGTTCTGATTTCATCAATGACTTTTGCTAAAAGCTTACTGTTGTGTGATAAATTTTAGAATTCCCTTTCTTATATGTTCAAGTGGCAAGTTTGCTACCTCTGATTTATCTTGCATTCTCCTTTTTTTCCTCAACTTTACAACTTTTCTGTTCTGCCACTGGAGCAGAAAAGTTTCTTTGTCTTTAACACTTCCTTCTTCATGTTTAGCCTTGATCTTTCCTCCTCTGCCTGCGACTGCCTCTTGATGCCTCAGTTCCTGCTAGCTCCCTGTAATCTTGTGTTATACAATGGAACAGTTTTGGCTTACAAAAATGCAAGATTGCATCTTTATCTCATTAAGAAAGGAAACCTAAGTCATATAATTAGAAAAATCAGGAATTAGAAGAAGTTGGTGCTTTTTTTCCTGAAATGTGGCAGACTCAAACTCCTAGCTTTTATAGAAGAACAATACTTAAATCAGATTTTATAAAATGACTTACCCCACTTTTGTCAACCTGGAGGAAAGATTCTTGCATGCAACTTTTTTGGAGACACGAGCTTTGTTCCTAATACTTTGATTTGCGCCAAACCCATGGCTCTAAGACATTCCTGAATTTGCAAAATGCTCTTTTACCTCCATGTATCTTCTGTGATGAAATCTCTCTGGTTCTTCATTTTCATGAAACCTGAAGCATAATAGAAAAAAAATTGATAATATTAATAGTCTCTACTTTGTGCTAATGGCTTCTGTTTCCAGTTGTGGACACAATTAGTATCTAATCATGTGTAACAGATCAAAAGCTGTGTTTACAGAAGTGGTCAACATGTAAAATTCCTAATGAGGAAGAGTCCAGCCTTGATAGATGAGTGTGAATGAAAGAGTAACTTCTAGCTACAAAGTTCATTAACCAAGGGAGTACTTGTGAGCAAAATGGACACAAAATTGCTGGCCCTGGAAAATTATGAATTTTTTAGTTTGCTGTAAGTAGCAGATCGTGCTCAGAACAACTCCTTCCCCGCCCCCTGGCCACCTCGGCATGCCTAAAACAAAAACCCTTCTCCTTAGAGTGATAGTTCCTCTAACCTATGATGACATCTCAGCTGCTATGAAAATGAAAACATTTTCAGACTGCTCCAGGACCAAGAGAGGTATCCATCCCCGTGTAGAGCTGAAGACTTGTACTAGTGAATCCATTGACAGCCAGATAATTGCCTGGCCTTGTGCAGTGATGCCTGCCTCATCTCAGCACAGGGGCTGTCTCTTGCAGCCACCCTGGCACTGTGTCATTTGGCTCCCAAACACGGTACCAACACGTGCAGACTTGGACACGGCAAGAGAGCTCCACTGGAAAATGCTCCCGGAACAAGGGGGCCTTTAGAAGGTGACAACTTTGTCTGGGAGTCAGGATAACTTTTGGATGGTGGATATCAGGTCCCAGCATGACCCACTAAACTACGTGTCTGTCTACGACACAGGGTAGAATCATGTTTAATCAGTCCAGATCCAAAACTAATAGAGGGTTATTCCAGATAAGCTTTTAGGACAGTAGCACTACTCAAAACCAGTCACCAGGGATTCTTCTTTGAAAAGTAACCAAACAGAAAACAGACCTTTTCCATTCCATAGCTGTGTGCTGCAGTGACAAGCACTAGCTGTTTCAATATACCCCTCTTCCAAAAACTACAAAGTTAGCTGTTACCAGTGCAATAATACTAAGCCAAATATTGACACCCAAAAAATAGTACTTTTATTCTTCTCTTTTCCTACGGCTTTCTAAATATGCTGGGGTTTTTTTTTTAAAGCCTTCTCAAAAGCCACAGGGAAAGCCCATCTATCTAAATAAAAGTTAAGAAGATGGTTTTACAGAAGATGAGACAGGGAAGCACTGGCATTGTTGAAGAGGGGAAAAACTGAACCCCTACGAGTGAGTAATCGGGATTACCACAACTGAAAGATATGCTTTTTGGCAAGAACATTTAGAGCCCAATTTTCCAGGCAAAGCTCCATTTTTAAAATGTCCCTGACTGACTCCATACGTTAAATATGGCTGTGCACTCCTATGTGTCCCTGATTCCCCACAGTTCTCCAAAAAACAGTGTAAGCATGTTCTTGCAGCTCATGTGGGAAGCGAACATCTGGATTGTCTCTTTGGTTGACCTAGGAGGCCAGATTTGTCAAAACTTGAAAGCACTGTGCAGAAAATGCCTCTCTAGGCTTCGAAGCCAACTCTTGTTGGTTCAGCTAACTAGGTGGTGGAATTCCCCAAGTTTTACATTTGCCTTTGCAAATACTTCTTCGAACTGGCGCCAGAAACCTCTCCCCTTTAACTCTAGGGAACGAAGCAGAAGAGCTATTGGCAGCCTTTTCTTCTCCTTTATTGCACAAGCTGGTGCTTTATCTTCCACTTGTACCTCACACATCCCTTTGATTGCATTGCTTGTCTGAAGGGTATTTTGATAGCACCCACCCTCCCAGATAGATCCATGCTTTCCAGGGCCAGCCAGCTGGCTGTTGTGTCCTCTAGCTCTTCAGGAAACTTTCCCAGTCCACCCACCTAGCACTGTGAGCACAGGGACCCAGGTGTGCGCATCATATTCTTGGTTTGCTTGATCCTCTAGCTGCCAGCAGAAAAGTATGGCAGCTCTTTAGCTTCACCTTGCATTAACTGACTTTGTGTCAAGCGAAAAGTTGCAGCCTTCTAAAACTGAGGATTCTGCAATCAAGTGTTAAAAATAACTCCAGCACCTTCTGCCAGCTACAATAATAAGGCTTTCCTGAAGACAGCTTTGGCTAAATCCTAGAATAACAATGTCACAGGAATTCTAGAAATGCTAAATCTGCAGTTATGCAATCTAATTTTTGTTGTATGGACAAACCCCACACTTCAGGCCACTGATAGAACATCAAGTTTGAGAAGAAAGGCACCCCTTTTCCACCTTCATTCATGGTGTGACACAAGGCCACAATGACACCATTCTCTCCATCTTCTCTGCTCTTATTTGCTGTCCTCCACCTTCCAAGGCAACATAGTGCATGAAAAGTATAGAACTTCACTATAAAGTGAAGTTCTGGGCCGGCACAGCATCCTGTGGCTCTTAGCTGTGTTCTCTTCCTCCCTTCCCAGCTCTACCTGCTTTTGCAGAGAACCCTTTGCTGGGTTTTGCTTCCTGGATGGTGGCTGCCAATGCTTCCGGGGGGTGAAAGCCAAGTTTTCCTGTGTACGAGAGAGAGGGATGTGCTGGCGGTTGCATTTTCCAAGAAAGAGGTGTACAGTACAGCTTCTCTTTTACAAGATCAAACAATTCTAAGAATGTACCCTTGTGTGGCTCATATCCTCTGGCTTTGTAAACTCAACCTGGGCTTTCCTGCAAGGCCTTCAGAACACATGCTTTCTATGCTCTATGTTCCTAACATCTTAAGCCAATCCTTTTTGCCAGTTTGTCCAGAAAACCGGCAAATGGAAATAAGCAATTGGGCTTCTAGAAACTTGCATAAGAATCTGTGTGTGAGTGCTGAGCTCTGATGAAGGAGGCTCTGAGCCCAGGAATGTACCTACTTTCTCCTTCCTGTATTTAGCTGACTAAGATTCCTAAACAGCGGCTCCACATTCTAAATTACAGGTTTGGACTGGAGCACTTGGCCCATGGCTTGGATATCTTGTGTAATTCTGCTGCAGCTAAACTCAGATTTTTCCAGAAGATGGCCCTGTGTCTCCTAACAATTCAGGCTTTTCCCCCCAGGATCATTATTCCCAGCTAAGAGACTGCAAAGCATTGCAGTAAACAGGCGAGATGCTCAGGACTAAGGTAAAGAGCTTGTTCCCTGAAGTGCTGCTTCCTCTGCTCTCATGTGCTGCTGATACTGGTGCAACTCTGTGAAGCTGCTCCTGTAAAACAGGGCAGAGCAGAATCTGGGAGCCCGAGCCAGACTGTTTTCCTTTACCGTATGCACTGATAAAGAATAAATGATGATACTGATGTTAAGACATAAAAACAATGACTAGAGTAGCAGTTCATATGGTTTTGCAAGATTATAATCCACTGCCAATGTGTCCTGTTAGCTTTGTATTTGGAGATAACTCTCTTAATCAGCTGGAAAGCCAATGGAAATTGCTGACCAGAAAAAGATGCTATAGAAAAAGCAGAAAATTTGGAGGGCAGCTGAACGGTGACACTAAATAACAATAGTAAGTCAGACAACCACTAACACTGCTGAGAAAATACCATTCAACTTGAGTGGGAAGAGAAAAGCTCATGGGGTATATGCCTGCACAAAAATATTCTCCCGTGGCTTGGTCATGTGCACTCATGAAAGAAATTGAAGCTGAACCATTTGCTATGGTAGGGAGAACAATTTTTGACAAAATGGGATGTGACAGAAGGTGTCTGGAATAAACATTAGATATTAGGGAAGTTTATGGCCTCAGAGGAAAAAGAGAGCAGACCCTTTCAGACAGACAGAATTGATGAAGCACATTGCTTTTTCAGATTCACAGAAAGTGGTAACTGGCCAGTTGGCTAATTCATCTGTGGAGAAGGGGCCAAACTGCTGCTTCCTTTCTTTCAGTGAAGGTGCATATCTGAGCCTGCTCCCCCAGCCCTTCTGTTGGATTTATTTATCATGATGCCTGAAGGAAACAGACACCAGTTAAATCTGTCATGCATGATGGTAAATCAGCCAGTTTACAAGCTATTGATTGATAGAGGGAATAATTGTGTCTCTTGTTTCCTTAAAGTTTATGATCTTAAAACTAACACAGATGCTATTGAAGAAATTTATTGGTGATTGAGCAAGTCCTCCTAGTCAACCAAATACTTATTCTTTTATCATAAAATGTGTGACAACTTTAATATGGTTCTTTGGCACAAATTAGTGACTATCTGCAAAAGCACTGAAGATAAATATCTGACTTACAGTGCACAAGTGGTCATAAAACTCCCATGCTAAAACAAGTCCTTGATCAAAGTAGCATAGTTGAAAGGCATGCTGATCAGAAACTGAAGCATTAAGTATTAGGGTCAAGAACACCTCTTATCTATGCTTAAATAAAAAGTAATAAAGAAGCAGAGATTTGTCATAAGGCCAAAGCTAGAGAGTCCTGAATTACTATTAACAAAGCACAAAGGTTTATGACACAGAGACATTTCAGCACCTCATCTAGTATTTGTACTACTCTAAAAGTGAGCCCTGCTTGTTCAGGAATGGTGCAAGAATAAAGCCCTGTCTGGGATGAGCAGGCAGCACAGGCAACTGCATTTTAGGTAACGTACTGAGTATAACCTGCAGGAAGGAGGGGGAAGAGTTCTGGGGTTCTGAGTAGAATAAGGTGGTTGCCCATGGCCAAGCAGCCTGGGAGGTGCTGTTCCACCAGCTGTTGTGATAAGTAGTGCCGACCCTTGTACAGCATAGACGTATCACAAACTTCTATCTGCACTTAAATAAAAGCTGGTTTTCTGTTGGTAACCTTTCATCTGGTCACTACTGAGGACCAATGAAAGACAGAAAAGATTGAAACACCTCAGGCTGAGCAGTGAAGCAGAGGGGAAAGATCCAGGTTTGTGCCTTCTCTGGGGGAAAGATAGATGAGCAGTGGTGGTTTGAGTCACCCAACTTTGGTATGGTCTGTCAGGAAACAACGGAATAAGGTATGACACCTAAAGCAACACTTCTGAAAAGTGGCAATACCACAACATGACTAGCCTGTGCAACTCATCAGCACAGTTTACCACAGCTCATTACTACAGGATTTGGAAGGATTAAATATGTGAAATGCCAGAAATGATAGTTTCTCCGTTAGAATGAAAATAAACATATGGTATAAAGTTTCCAGACTCACAGATGTCTCAGACCTTCAGCTGGGATGGTTCAATAGAGGCAATATTTTCCAAAAACTATTCCCTAGATTGCTTTGCATTTTTATATGAAGCACCTTAGACCAGAATCTGTCAGAACTAATATACCACATCAGATGAAATGGACTAGTGCAATAAAAACATACATATATAATGTAAACCCATCTCCGGCCATTGGTAATCAAAACCTGATCCAAAAAAAGCCACCCTGAGCCCCTGAAGAATAAGGTTATTCCTTGAGATGGAGGAGTCTTTCAAAATATTATTTGTACAGATGTAAATCCTACACAAAAAATTAAGAAATGCACAGAAGTTCAGCTCTAACACAAGTCAACTGATTCAGCCAAAAGCAGGTACAGTAACTGCAAGCATTTTGCTCTGTTCTACCCTCCTTCCATGTCTGAAATGGTGCTGTTCCCTTACCTGTGAGACTATAATTCCTCACCTATTCCTTCTTCTTTTCTTACTGACCAAACTAGCCCTGGTGACTGAGAAAAGATGCAACCCAATAATCAACATTTCCTTGCCTGGTAGAGTTTAGTTTACAGCATCAGGAAACAATAGGGAGCTGTGTTTGTGCAATCTCTAAAGAGTGTGAAGAGGGGAAATTCTAGTACTGGGCTCACATCCCATTTTCAGTCTCTTCAACAAATGGAATTCAAAAATCTATTTTATGGTAATGCATCATTGTCCTCTAAATGCTCTGCTTTCATACACTTGAATGGTTAAACTCAAACAGGCTGAAGAAATCTAGAAGACACATTGTTTGCAAAATCACATTTCAGAGAGAAAAAACACTGATAGCACTTTTGGAAATACACTTGTCTTTCAGATAACTAATAATCACTTAGGCTTGAGGTCCCCAGTCCTTTCAGCTGAGCCCTGTTGCTCTGTGCCAGTCAGCCTGAGCTTTGCAACTGCAGCTCATTGCCGGGGCAGAGGTCTGAGGTTACTGTCATCAGTCACCGCAGGCTCGTAATACTCGTGTCAGGGCTTTCATCCTGATGCCTCTCTCAAATCCTCTCCTGCAGGTTCAGGCAGGGACAAAGCAGAGAACATGTTGGAGGTTGTCACTGCTCCATGCCTCACACTTCTGTAACACTGCCCGGCATGCCCCGAGTGAAAAGTAGCCATTGAGTGTGCCTGAAAAGCTGTCATGGTCTTCATTACATCCCACTAACAAAGCAGGAAAGGGCCCTGCCAGTGGGCTGAACGTGCTTTTGGGAGGCTTCCACAATGAAAGCAGCAAAGCACTGAAACAAGTGTTACATTGTCTCCCTCAATTAAGCACACAGTATTGCATCATCACTGCTGTAAATACTCTAGAGTGCCAAATTGCGCCGTTTTGCTTCTAGGCCCTCAGTCAGGTCTTTAATAAATCAGGGCACATGTGAGCAGTTTTGTATTTTAAGTAACCTTTAGGCACTGCGTGCTGGAGCAGAAAGTTCCTCCCAAACCCAAACAGAAGTTGGTCCATTTTGTGTCCCTCAGAGTCAGCCAAGAAGGGCACTGAGCAAGCAGGCTAGAATATGGTCCCATTATCCCAGAATAATCAATAATCTGCCACCAGCCCACAGTTCTGGGACTGAAAGACAGGGATGAAGACATCCCCAGCTGTCTTCAGCAGTCCTTCAAAGACTTCCCTTTCATATGCATGGAATGGAAGACCAATGTCCTTAATCATTGAAGCATTCTATAGCTATGAGTTTCACACATTCTAGTTCAGCAGGTGGTGGAAGAGAAGCTGTTTCTTTCATGACAAACCCATGGACAGCCAGGCCAGTGGCAGCTATAAAAGTACAGCTAGGAGAGAGAGGAAGGAGAGCTATTGCTATGGTGAAAAATGTCCTTCACAACAACACTTACTGCCAGTCCTGCTTCTCTTCTTCCCTTGGCATTGTCAAAACCAACAAATCTGACATCCTCTCTTCATACTACCTCATTCTCAGATGCCTCTGGCATCTGTTTTCTTCATAGAAGAAGCAGAGTGGTCTTGGCCCTGCACTTGCAGATAGCAGAATCCAACTCTTGCCATTTGCTGTTGACAGGCAGCAGCACAGCAGAGCAGTTTGACTTGCTCTACTTCATGTTTTCTTAAAGTGAATCAGATGTCCCTGTTACAGCAGAACAATGCCCATGAAAAGGATGGGAGAATAGCATTGCTGCACGCCCTTGGCCACCACCACTTAGAGCTGCTCTCTCATTATAAAAAGTGTAGGAACCATAAGTTGTTTTCAGTACAATTTTAGTGACCAGGCAAATAATTTAAGTAACCAGTTTTGTGCTTTTTTGCTTAGTTTGGCCTACATGTAATTTTGCTTGCCACATTGGCTAATGGAAAATATGGAAAATATGACTGCTCTGAAAAAACAAGCTTACTCTGAGTTTTGGCAATGATGAGCAAACACAAATGCAGCACACAGTACAAAAATGTCACTTATTAGGAGGTTTCTTGGGCTCATCTTAAACTGAAGTAGTAAAATATATATGAATATACACTAAAGCAAGTACTGTTTCTTAACCACACAGTAAAGTAGCTATTCAGAACTGGGAATACCAGTAGATAGTCCTGACCTTCAGATTGTGATACCAGCAATTGTAAGTTGCTTTGAGGAGAAATAAGTCAAATCCAAATTCCTGCACTGCTGAAACATCCAAGCTATTCAAAGAGCCTCTGATCAGCAGGTGGTTGACCACTTCTGCTCAACCAAAAAGTCATCTTCCCCTTGAGTAAGCGATTTTATCAAATGGGTGTTGTAGGTAAGCCCTTGCTCTCTAGATAAGAAATTCTGAAATTATTTTCATATCAAATGTATTGGATTCTACTTCCTGAAGACACTATTTTCTCCTTCATGGAGACAGTGAGATAACTTTTTGCTTCACTGCCTTTTCCCAGTTTAATCCCACATGCTCAACAGTTTTGAGAAAAAGTGCACAGCCCTTACTTATGTAGAAATTGGGATGTGGTTACCTGGGAGGTAAAGGATGGTCACTCAGGATGAATTAGACCACGAACCTCTCACATATCTCAGGCACCCTCTAGCACTGAAGGAAAGGTAAGCAGCAGGCTGACACCATGTTCATTCTTTTCCTTCTCCCACCAGACTCCCAAAGGTTCCTGTCTGGAGGCGGTGAAGATTGCCATTGATGCTGGTTACCGCCACATCGACGGTGCCTTTGTCTACTTCAATGAGCATGAAGTGGGACAAGCCATCCGGGAGAAGATTGCTGAAGGGAAGATCAAGCGAGAAGACATATTTTACTGTGGCAAGGTGAGAACCTGCACTCAGATTACCTACACTAAATCCAGGATTTCTGTGAGTGGTCTTTCTTAAGAATGCCAGTGGTCAGCATCTGGAATGTTTCCTCCCAGATCCAACATCCTTTATTTTTCTTTCTGAGCATTACCAGAATGCTGCAGATCTTTATGAACACTAGGTTTGTTGTGAGGCACAGGAATCACTGTTCTCTGTTTAAATCTCTGATAGCAATGGAAACCATGCAACATCCTTTTTGCCTAGCATTGTAGGCACCTGCAAGTTAAGACCATGGCTACGTTCAGCCACAAGTGCTGCCTAACCTGTTACTGTGCCACACGTTGTGTTGTCACACACAGAGCCCCAGCTGGACAATGATCCTGTGACTGAGCTATTTTCTGTTAGAGCAATTCCCTGCACATGTTTGCCATGAGGTTACACAATGAAAGGGGTGGGAGCAAGCACGTGCATGCCGGTGTCTGTGTATGGAAGAACAACAAGTGCCTACATTGGTACTACTGCCAGAAAATTACTCACCAAGCTACACCCTTAGTTACTGTATCACTTGTAATTAAAAAGTTCTAGGATGATGAATCAACTTACTTGGAGAGAAGATGTCATTACACTTCTGTTCTAGAGCAATAAGGCTGGAGTAATGCATGAGGTATTTTATATATTCAAGTCTTAACTCTATGATTTGACTCTCTCCTAAAAGAATTAAATCCCTTGTCCAATGAGTTACCCAGGTATAAGAGAGCTCATTGCACGTTGCAGAATAGAGACTGACTGTCCAGTTTCTAAAGGAATTTATGGCCTCAAATAGTCCTTCCTGCAGTGCCTCTTTGAAATTATCAGCCTAATATTTTCCCTTTCTCCTTTCCCAAATAAGACGTAATCTACAATTACTCAACAGACTTGCAAATAAACACCGCTGTTCCTAGAGTGAAAGATCCCACGGGATGAGAGGCCTGGGTTACTGTGAGCAATATAGTGAAGTTCTGTGATCTGGGAAAATTAAGCCTCATATTGGATAGTTTGCAGACCAAGTGGATTTTCAGCAGCTATAAACTAATTTCCAAGTACAGCAATTTCCAATCTGTAAAATATGCACCTCTTTTCCAAGTTTCCTGCTTGGTTCTGCTGATAACAACCTTGCCATTCTGAGAAAAGCCTCACGTTCTCAAATTCTCTGCCTTTAGCAGGGGAATTTCTCAGTCTCTCATATGCCAAATATGTTGATTTGGATCAGTGAATATATTTGGTTTCAACAGTTTTATAGTTTCATTACTGCAAATTATTGGTAATATTACAAATCAAAACCACCAAGTTGTGCCAAAATGCTAGAACCAGATGTCCTAACAATTTTGAGTATTTTAACTTTCTCAGCTGCTTCCCCTGCAGTTTATTTGCCCATATCAACCTTGAGGCTCTATGAAAGCACATCTCCTGGTAAAATTTCCAAACTTCCTTTATTTATTAAGCATTTCTGTATTCAGCTGTCTTATCTGATCACCAGATGATTTTCCTAGTCAATAATCACTACTTAAATATTGAGTCATTTGGAAAAATGCAGGTCCTGCAAGCCACAGGGCTGCAACACACGGTATGACAACAGCCAATGCCTGTGCTCCCAGCCTGCCGTGTGTCTGTGAGGTGACACACACACGGAGTTCTCTTACAGTCGTGTCCTTGTGTTTGTGCTTGACAAAACGTCAGCTGCTCAGGGTGACAGTCCATTATAACATTTCTACAATCTTTAAAAGAGTTCAAAGGCAGAAACAGAAAATACTCTGCAACTAATTCAACCCATCGCAATCTAGGATTTTCACAGGTTTCACTCAAAGCTCTCAAAGCAGCTCTGAACTTCCCAGAAGGAGTGAGAATGGATATCCCTTGCCTTATGTATCTTTGGTTTAATGCACCTCACAAACTTAGGTAGCTTACAAACTACAGGCAAATCTCAACCAAGCAGATACTTGGGGCATTGATCAGTAACTAATGGATATGAACTGTTGCATTTTCTAGGAAACATGGTAGATACACAGACCATTCTTGGAAGCACCAGGCACTACAGAAGTTAGTTATTTTTTCTGCCTTACTGACATCAGAAGCACTGGAAATTCCCAAGAGCCTTCAGACTCAAGCCCCTCGTGCAGATCTTTCCTGAAGCAAAGATGCTGGGGATGGGAGGCTGATCCATCAGCAGGGACTGACGAGAGCAGCCCTGCTGAGTGGCAGCGTTACTGGAACAGTGACCTGGTGTGATCGTGCTGCATCTGCCAGTTGAAATCATCGGCACTTGCGCTTGGCTCTCGCTGCTGGCTGCCTGATCAGGCAGAGCAGCTCAGCATCCAGAAATTTTAGAGGTTTTATATCAACTGCCAACATCTCACTTGGCTTATACAGCAAGACCTTTTTGGTCTCCTCTTTCATCCCAGGATATTTCTTTCATTAAACTAGAAGTAACATTTCCAGGGAATGTGGTGTCCTAAAATGCCAAAGCCAGCTGGCAGCTTTGACTGCTCAAACATGGCTTCTGCTTAGGTAGATAATACAATAACTTGTACAAATCATGAAAACAGTTATAAAGCTCTCAAGTTTCCATGGCATCAATGCACTGACATAGTACAAATGTTTGCTGCTTTTAAAGGCTGGTTCTTCAGAACATCTGCAGTTTTTAGAGGGTAGTATATTCACAGGCAAATGCTGAGCTCAATAGAACTGGGCTAGAAAGGGCACTCAGAAAAACTACTCCTAGGCAGTATATCTCAGGTTACCAAATTTCTAAAACACAGTAACAACCTGGACATGAAGGGTCTACAAAATAATTTGCTTGCTTAAATGCAAGTTAAGCTCATTTTGCATGTAAAATGCTAAAAAACATATAGCCCAAAGGTTTTCAGTAAATCCAGTGGAACAACATAAACTCTTGAGAACAGGACCTTGGTCTCTTACTTCACTACACCTTAACCTCTTACCACTGTCTGCTGATCATAAACTCTTCACATCTTGCAGCATGCAGCTGAGAAAGGTCTAGTATGAATTTCCAGGTGTTTTGGTTTGTCACCTTAGGACAGGGTCAGATGTCCTTGCTTCTGTGCAGAACTGAGCAGATAGTTTTCTCGGTGAATAACTATAACATAGTTTAAAAAAAACCCACAAGCATCTAAATTACTTAAAACTTACACAAGCTATGCCCTTTAACACCTATAATCAACATCTTTTCCCTCTTCTCTCAAGTTTGGTGTCTTTAGAACAAATTTATTCTATACCTTGGCATGCAGGGGCTGTCAGCTTTGGTGGCAGAACTGACGAGACAATGACCATACCAGCAAACAGCAGCTTTTTCCAACCAGCAAAAGTGACAAAAACCTCAATGGGACTCCACACGTTAGTTTTGTATACTGGGAAAAAAAAAAAAAAAAAAAAAAAAGAAAAGAAAAAGAAAAGAAAAGAAAAAGAAAAGAAAAGAGCCCAACTTATTGTGCACATTCAAATGGCACTAAAAACCTTCTATTGTGTGTTAATTCTGCTGCAGTTAAAATCGACAAAACTCAATCAGCTTACAAAGAGCTCTTGGTTACTAATTACCGTGCCATGATTTTGTTCTTGCAAGAGACTCGCATCAACAGAGTTCAGTTAGAGATAGTGCTGAACACTCACCAGCTGAGAACACTCCATAGCAACCTCGGGGCATAACCCTGAAAGGAAGCAGTTTGAATTAAAGAGGTACAGGAGAATGTGCTTTAACTACTCACACCTGCATTACAGTGACTAAACACAAAGACATCTTCCTGTGAGGACTGGGGAGTAAGAGAAAACTTCCCTAGGTCAGGCAGTCTCCCAGGCTCCCTGACCACAGGAGAAAACCAGAAGATTCTCTTAGTGCTTGGTTGTTCAATAGCTAACTAGCATGATCCGAGCTTCTGCCTTCAAGCATAAAACTGACCACAGATTCCTTGTGGGAACAAAGATTTTCAGTGAAAGCATATGCTTGGAAAACAAAAGGAATCCAAGTTCATTGAGCAAGAGTTTGCAATATACTCAGCTCAGAAGAACCTGTTTTGTAATAAAAAAATATGTAATGGTTTTACTGGGTCAATACTTCATTAGTCCTGGGCAAGAATTTCTGTCTTAACCTCTGCACCTGGCTCTGACAGAAGGCAAGGTAAGGCCCGAGCCCTGCCTTGCAGGGATGGAGACCATGATGTCTTTGCACTCTGCATAATGGACTCTGTCAGAAGGACAAGAGGGAGGGAGTGTGTGTTGGGGGGGTCTTCAGCTGGCTCTCTGTTCCTCCTGGCACCCAAAGAAAGCCTGTGCTTGCCTCCCCAGCTGTGGAATACCTGCCACCCCCCAGAGCTGGTGCGTCCCACGCTGGAGAAAACCCTGAAGATCCTGCAGCTGGACTACGTTGACCTCTACATTATTGAGCTGCCAATGGCTTTCAAGGTAAAAAAGGAAAATTGCTTGGAAAAAGTGCATGAACTTAGCTTGAACCAAGGTCTCCATCTAGCATATTCCTTGCAGCTTCCACCCTAGGCTGTCAATAGCATTTTGAGCAGATAACACACGTATTTTGATATATACTGCATACATGTATTTCTGCACACTGCCCACCCAAAGAGAGGCATATATAAGGTGGTGTGAGAGCAGGCCAGGAGAGATGTTGCTTGGAGTGTTTCTGCTGGAAGGACAGGTCTCCCAACAGTGGCTGTGCAGCTCCTGCTCTGAAAATTACCATAACTGAGCAGCACATATGTCTGAATCGCCTCTGAGCCACGAGGAGAGAGTCACTGGAGGAAAGAGCTTATACAAAGCAGCAACAGGCCAGGGGCAAAGTTCAGAAGGGAAGAGGGAAAGGTAAAATATCATCAATTTTGGTTTCCTTACTTTGTCCCAAATTAAAGTTGCTGTGCAAATTGTGATTATGATCTTCATCTCTGTAACTGCATCACTCAGCTTCACTAGATCCCAAATGGTGCCAAACATGGGTTGTCCATCTCTCATTCTTAAATGATCAAATCTGATATTCCCCCATACTGCTGGCTCTGGGCAACTTGTAGGCAAACCCTTTGAATGCAGGGAGCTCACATCATAGTTTCATGCCTCCCTCTTGCAAGTCCACAAACTTTCTGCTTTCATAGCTGTTTGTACCTTGCTTTACAATTTTCCTCTACAAGTACATGATATAAAGGCAAATGAAATTAAGAGATTTATAGTCAAAATATTTAAGTAGTTTTGAACTAATTAAATCTTTCTTCTAAGAGAGAATAGGGTCAGGCAATTAGTTGTTTCTGAACAAGGTTTGAGCTCTAAACTGGCCTCTTTTTGCAAGAAAGATAGATCTCTGATTATTAAAATTACCAGAACTATCTCATAGGAAACAATTTACCAATTAGGCTATCACATTACACTTGCAGCCCTTTTTCTCCCCCTGAGGAGGCCATATCCTATTAAGACCTGCATAAGAGTAACCAGACTCTGATATTAAAATTTTATTTATACAGTCACACGTATGGAATCCTTTTGGGTACATTTCTGAAAATTTCCCACCACTAGCAATTTCCTGTTTCCCTTTTCTTGTGTTTGTATTCTTTAGTAGTTCATTCTCCCACATAGTGAAGGTCATTGTCTCACAATATAAAGATACAGACAGCTGGCTTTAAAGTAATGTACATCTGACTCCCTGAGGCTTGTATCAACAATCTTGAGTAGTTAAAGGAGTAGCAGACTTAGAGATTCATTCATGGTTCTCATGAGAGGAGAGAGAAAAATAAGTCACTTTCTTCCTGAAAAATATACACTTTTATATATCAAATAAAAAATGAAAAAACCCCATCCTTTTGCAGTGGTGACAGGTTTCCTTTCTTTGCTCTCTCTCTCACAAATACACCCATCCTGCCTGTGATGCTTGCCTTTGATGAGGAGCATGCAGCTGTAACTCTAAAAAACTCCTACTCCCCCCTAGTCTGCAAGCATTGGTGCTTTCCTCCACAGAAGTCTAGCAAAAGCAGTCTCTGGTTGGAAGCAGTGATGTACTTAAGACTGAACTTACAGTACTGCCCTGAAAACACCAAGCAACATGCCCCTGAGAGCCCAGCCAGCTTTGTCACAGGGCTTTCAGGCAGGGCAAGAGGACTATGGTTTCAGAGAGCACCACTCAGCAAAGCCCCTCTGCTTTTCAACAGCTCAAGAATGGCCACCACATGGGGTGAAATTAATTCACTGACCACCCAACATTAGCCTATACCTCCCTGTATTTTTTCCCCACATAGATTTCCCATTCAGGACTTTTTTCCTTCCTGCCTTTAGCCCCAAGCAGTGTTGTTCAGATCCTCCACCCTAGCAAGGCAGTAACCAGCAGAAATAGATTTCCTCCAGGCCACTATGTGCCCTCCCTGTGGCTAGGAAGCTCATACTCCACAGGTATTTGAGGGGTAAAAAACCAGCAGGTTTTTGGGGGACTCTTCTCAGATGACTGATTCATTAGTAAGCATCAACTTGTGCACGAAATGATCTGCAAATCTGTCCCAAACTAATGATTCTGTCATCTGATAGGAAAGCAGATATTTTAGTGTTACACTGAACAAGTCTCATGTAAGTATCTTGTAATTTTAAAAGAATAACCCAAAACAGACCATTAGCATTACTATTTGACTTCCTGTTGCCCTTCTGTTTGTAGGACAGGCCTTCACAGGTTGTTAAAATTGCTTTCCTGAGAAAGCCTCCTTGTCAAAGACCATTTTATGAAAGCAAGGGGATGTGCAGAATTGTCTTCCTGCATGCATGTTGGTGAGAAAATGATAATGGGAGCAGGACTTTTCCTCTCAGTGGCTAACAGCTGCTGGGTTTTAAACTAGCAAGTAAGTGTCTGATATCTTTTGGAGTGCCTCCAGACTTTGGACATGACATGATAAGATGTGATCCCCCATAATGGCAGTGGCTGTACGGTGTTGGCACATTAATTTGAGTGCTCCTGCAGCAGCATGAAGCATACCTTTCATCCAGTGTAAAACACAAAGCTATCTCCAAGAGAGCTGCAGGAGAAGATGCCAGCATTTCTAGGATGACTGGTGCGGTGTAGCTCATGAGAACCCAGAGCTAAAATAGGTGACCAGCTTCTGAAAGACCTTTTCAAAGACCCCTGTCACCATCAAAGCATTGCCTCTCTCTCAGCACTTCATCCACCTGCAGGCAGTTCTTCCATTCAGAAATTCCCTTCCAAAAGATTGCTTGGTAGAGAAAGTTTTGCCTGGAAACTATTGAGCAGAGAGAACTGCACTTCAACACCTTGCAGAATTTTCTACAGGTAGGAAGAAGAGGAATTGGTCACTATAGAAATCCAGAGTAGTTCACACCACATCTCAGTCAAGAGAAGTTAATCTTCAAGCACCAGTCATCCTGACTTGGTTCATTTTTAAAACACAAATGACAGAGGAAAATAGGATGGTAAATCAGCTGATATAATTGCTGCCTATTGACTACTATAGAAAAAAAGTTGAATAAAAATGAGTGAATTAGAAGTGGGGCAGAGTACAAATGTCTTGAATTCAGACTCATTTACTAAAATTAAACAGGTCCAACTGTTTAATACATTGAACTTGCAGTCCGTGGAAAATATGCTGGGGTATCATGGGATAAATAGTTTGTTCCAAAATACCATGGGGTGGTTTTGCAAATAAAACTTTTCCACCTCACATTATGATGGCAAACACTTTGCCTTCTAATAGAAAAAAAATGTACCCAACAGCTACCTATCTCCTTCTAGTCAAGATATTCTCTTTTGCCAGCAAGACAGAGCAACAAAAGCAACAAGTTGTCTTTGTGGAATTCTCTGAGGAAAATCAGCACATTTGGAGGAGAGAGGTTTATGCCTGTAACTGAGACCTTGGCCCTCTGAAATCTGAGGCTGTTTTCCTTAGGCTTACTTTTCCCATTAAGTGCCTTGGATTTGAACTTGACTGAATTGGGAGGTGATAGTTACTGATCATATTAGTCACAGCTGCGTGTTCCCAAGGAGTTACCACGTCAACATCTTGTACCCAGGCCTTTGAAATGTAGCGGTTTGAAGTCAGGTCAAATGTCAAACATCACCGAAGGGTTTTTGTTCAAAAAAAAGAAAAACAAACCCCAGCAAAACACAAAAGTGAAATTGTGATCAGACACAAGGGAGGGAGGTGTTAATGCATTGCCTGCAGCAGCAATGAAATGACCAGCAAATTAGAGAAAGCTGTGCTTGTGAGATATCAGCTCATAAATCATCTCTGAAGCCTACAAAGTAGAGAAAGAGTTTCTAGTGCCCAAAGAAAGGTGGATAATGCACTTAAGAGGTTAGCTATGCCAATAGCCCCTCACTGTCAGTGGTTCCGGGACCATCCAGCTGTTGGGGAGAGTACCAGCTCAGTCCATTCCCAAGTGCCTAAGACACAAGCAGGAGGCAAGGGAAGGGCCAAAACAAAGAGCAAAGAAGTAGAAGACAATACAGGCTGGTACTCTAACCCAGCTCTTTGGAAGGAGATGAGTCTTTTGGATGTCATAACATAAAGGTCAAAAGTTTACTGAAAAACAAGGCTATCCAGGAGCTCCTGAGTGTACTCTCATGTGACAGTTCAGGAGTGTGTCCAAGGACGATCCAGCAGATGAGGATGTGGTAAGCCCAGCATGAATGACCTGCTGAACTTAGGGTGTTTCAGAAAACTACTCAATTTTTTTGTTGTTTACTAGTAGAAAAAGAGCACGTGAAAAAGTTTTTGCTCTAAGGAATAAAAATTTTTTCTTTAAAGCACAGCAGTATGGTTTTACTTTTCAGCCTGGAGATGCACTCTACCCAAAAGATGAAAATGGAAAATTTATCTACCATGAGACAGACTTATGTGCCACTTGGGAGGTAAGCAAATGCAACATCCATCCATATATGCTTTAAACCCACAGATAGTCATTCTCATTTTTACTTGTGGTTTTCATAAACATAACTGAAGCAAATTGACAGGGCAAATGGATCGAATTCTACTAGCTCCATGGATAATTTTTTCTTCTATCCTTAAGCATTCTTTAAGCATGTTCTCTTTGCTGTCATTTAATTATTTTTATAACAAAACACTGTTGAAACATCAGACATCCACATTCCCTCTTTAAGAGAGTGCACTCTACATTCACTACTTGAAGACCTACCTATCATTAGGTTTTTACCAATCCTTCCCCTTTATCAGATCTTCACAGAAAGAGAAAGTTGGAGCCCTCAGAAGAGACTAGGTCATCTTGAAAAAAATAATAGCATTTCACTTGCAGGAAAAAACAGATTTTGCTTTAAAGCTCACCATAAAAAAAGCTCCAAACAATCAACAAAAAAAACGCTATTCAAAAAAAGAAGAATCAACATCTCCCCACTCAAAACACCTCCCCTGAAAAACAAAGCCCAAGACCTTGCCATCACTTGCCATTATAAAAAGTTCACTCACTTCTAAATTTACCTATCAGATGGGAGCACAAGATTTTTCCGCTAAGAAAACTTGGAGGGAAGTAGCGTTTGCCTGAAATATTGCACCCCAGATTTGTTTGTGATGTGCTCTAGTCCTTTAGGCAATTGTCTCACTAAGCCTAGTGTCACTTGCCTTCAGGATATTAGGTGAGGAAGAAAGTGAGACTAGCAATCTCCTCACATTTCTGCGTCTCAAAGCCATGGACACCTCTATAGTTCATGGCCAGAGCTGCTCAGCTCTCCCTCTGCACCAGGCCTGATGAAATAGCATCACTAATTATATCCAGTTCACACCAAGAGAGATAAGAGGTGCTACTACGTGCTCCACTTCAGCTTGCACTGTCCAGATCTGGATAGTCATGTCCCAGTTTAGCTGTACTTGAGGTACCGCAGATAAAGAAGAATGGTGAAATTCTAAGTGAAATTTAGAAGGGGGTGAGAGCCCAAAGGAGACCTGAACTTTCCTGTGGCAGCTAAGCCATCCAGGCTGGGTTTCAGAGGGAAGGGGGACTTCCACATTAGCTGTTTATGTTACATTTGAATGTGGCTGATGCACTTCATTCCCCTCTTTTCACAGAATGGTTGCTCAGATGTTAAAAGCATCTGAGCTCTCCCAACCCTGCTACATTATCATCTTTGAGCTGGTGTTTAATGTAAGGGTTATTCTATAGAAGGCCACTCTCTTCAGATAATAAGCCAAGAGAAAAATAGGTGGTGAGGAGTGCCTGCAAATAGCAGCATTAATCTGAATTAAGATGGCTCAAACTCAATCCAGATAATTTCACTCTCTGTGTGGTGTTAGCTGGCAAAAATTAATCCAGACTACTGTATTTGCTGACTTGTCACTGAGTGATAGAAGGCATATGAGGCCAACTAGAGGTCATCAAACACACAGTGCCTCTTACCTCCCTGCTTTCTGCTCCTGTAAGACAGAAAAAATAACAAAACCTGAAAGGGCATCCAACTCCATGGTGGGGTCTGCTCTGCCTCAAAGAGTCGCTGAATTATTTGTGTGCAGAGTTTCAGGCAGCAAAGGGGAACACCATAGCAAAGGACCCCCTTTCCCCTTAACAACTCAGCAGATTAAGATAACAAAGACCATGGAACATATTAATATCCAGTATTCATTAGAGTTTCCCAGCTACTAGGATTTGTCTGAAGTGCAAAATATCTAGAATGCCTCTCTCCTATCCACCTTTTTTTTTTTTTTCCTGCTTGATACTGAAGTTTTCTGTGCAGGTTTTGTGATGTGCCTTGCCATATATTTAGGGGATTTCACTGGATAAAGACTTCATATGAAAAAACTGTCTTACAATCAAAAGGAGCGAATTGACTTATCAGGAAAGCAATCTGTTTTGTTCACTTTGCCTTCTCCAGCTTTGAGGCACTGCTAAAACAGCACACAGTAGGCAAAATTCCCTAAAAGTTGCCTGGCACTTAAGTATATACATATCTCAGGTTAAATCTTTCTGCTCTCCAGACAAATTCTACCCTCACATGAGGTAACAAACATTAGGGCTTGGTCCAGAAAGCAGGTCGACACAGGAATAGAGTTTGGTTTTGGAGTCTGGATAGCACCAGCCTTCCTGCTACTAGAGCTGTTAGTTCTGCTGCAGCAAAAGGTCTCAATAATGGTCTAGCTTCCACCTCTCTCTAAAATGCATGCTCCAAGAAATCAAGCCAACACATGGGACTCCTCTTGTCTTTGCTTTCTTTGCAGGCTCTGGAGGCATGTAAAGATGCAGGCTTGGCAAAGTCTATTGGAGTATCCAATTTCAACCGCAGGCAACTGGAGATGATCATGAACAAGCCAGGACTTAAGTACAAACCTGTCAGCAACCAGGTATGACTGCAAGCCAAGGGCAGTGCCTGCCATGGTGCCACTGCCATTTGGGGAATGCAAACACAGAGAAAGATGATGCGTACATGTGAACTTTGCCACAGATGCTGCCCTCCATACTTCCATTTCTAGCTTGAAAATATTACTCTTCCTATCTAGGCTAAAGATCAATATTGGAAGGCTCTGGAGCAATTGCTTTCCTCAGTTTCTGCTCCAGGACTATAAAAACGGTGCCTCTGTGCCAAAGCTCCATAACAAGATTGAATGCTGAGTCAAAGCAGATCTTAGATTTCTGCCATGTACCTTACTTCAAGCCCAAAAAGTCTCAAGAAAACCATTCAGATCTAACCAGTTCTCAATGAAGCCATGTCTACCTTAGTTGACACCAGCACAACTCTATAGATCCTGAGTCACTCCAGGTTTCTCAAGTGTAAAAGCCATTAGAAGCAACTCCTGAATTTCCTGTACTTGTACTTTTCCTATAAGACATTTGTAAGAACTAGAGAAAACGTTCCATTAAAGGAGACCCTGTTATGTGACTGGCCCGAGCTGAACAATCCTGTGAGGATGACAGGCACATCCGAGTTAAATTACAGCAGTGAGGCTCCTGAGAAGGTGACAAGTGGCAGCGACCCATCTGAGTGCCCAGTACCTTTGGCTCTGGCATTTGGCAGGTCTCTGCATTTCCTAGAAATCTCTGGGAAGCCCTTCTAACTCGTCTGGCACAAATATCCACATTAACAGTAATAGAGATGAGGCCAGGAACCAACCAGGACCAACTTCCCACTCCCAGCACGTAGCCTGGAGGGCTGGAATGGCCATGAGGCACGGCAAGGAGGCTGGCCACAGCTTTCATTTCTGTGTTTGGCCTGGAGGAGAAGGCTGCCTATGAGAATAGGAAATTCCAGCACCCTTCCCTGGTATTAACATGCCCAGCAGGTGCAAAAGTTTCTGGCGTGCCCCTAGGACTGCACTGAGCATTGCTGATGCTTCCTGGGGTCAAGGAAAACCAGGCAAAAGATTAAGCTCATCTTAGGGCAGTTGGCCAGCAAGGATAGAAGTGCCAGATAGCTTCAGACTTGCCAGACAGCAGCCACTGCAAACAGTGGTTGCTCTGTCACCTTTTAGACATCCATTTCCCAGAGTCTGAGACCACAGCCAGAAAATTCCACGCCTGGGAGGGAACAGTGTTTGCAACGTGGGAGGGCAGACCCTGCAACAAGGTCATAATCTCACCCTTTCAATACCCCCACTCCCCACCTTTTTAACTGGGACAGTTTATGCCAACACTTCCCTTAAAACAACATCAGATTAGTCACCCTGAATGCAAGAGGCAGAGAAATGGAGAGCTGACCCACATGAGATGGGTTACCTTCTCAGTTTACTCGTCTATTGAGTTTGCCTCACCTCCATAATCCCCATTTATTGCCACCTTTCCACTGCAGGCCAATAAAATTTCCCTGCAGCCAAATTATGGTTGCAGATATTAATCTGCTGTCCACCAAAACACAAAAAATTGATAAAACAATCAATCACCCAGCAATGTACAATGAGAATAATAACCACAGAGGATGTTTCCCTATTCCCTAATTTACATCTATCCTTTCCTGCAAGCATTACCTGGTCTGTAGCTCTCACAAATATCGGGATAGCTTTTGCTTCTGTGTCTGGTCCTGTTGATTAGTCATTCTTTCTGTGCTACTCTTGCAGGTAGAATGCCATCCCTACTTCACCCAACCCAAACTCCTAGAATTTTGCAGACAACATGACATTGTTATTGTTGGGTACAGCCCATTGGGAACCTCAAGGGATGAATCATGGTAAGTCCCTGTGTTACTTTCAAATAGAGGGACAACATCCAGGGAAACATAGTTCTCCACTGCTGGATCTCCATGCAAAATACCTCTGCCCCCATTTTTTAAAGTGATTTTGAACCTCGGTGTCTAAATATTACTGTTGTGAGTGTAAACTTTCAACACTCCTGCTGCATGCTGTCATCAAAGAATGCCAGGTGTCTGCATAGGAGGTTGCCTTAGGTCTCCTCTAACAGAAGGCAAGTGTTTGGAACAGGGAACATGTGAGGCTTAGGTGAGGAAGGAGAAACGAAGTCAATGTTAAGACATCACACAGGAAGTTGCCTTTGACAACGTGCCAACCTAAGAGCCAAAACTTTTCTCTCGTCTTTCACCCTACTTGTCAAAAGGCGCAGTGTTCTGTCCACAAACATGTAGATGCCCCAAGGTTTTGACATTAAAGATTAGGAGGTTTTTTTGTTTTCTTCTCACCTTTTTTCCAGGGTAAATGTGTCCTCTCCTCCTTTACTGAAAGATCCTCTGCTGAATGCCATTGGCAAGAAGTACAACAAGACTGCGGCACAGATTGCTTTGCGTTTCAACGTCCAGCGAGGGGTGGTGGTGATCCCAAAAAGTTTCAATCCACAACGCATCAGAGAGAATTTCCAGGTAAATTCATACCCCAATAGTATATGGACAAATCCACTTACATTGGCTTAGCCCCTATAGAAAGTAATTTCCCTGTTTTTTCTGTAGACATATGTAAGACTTGACCAATGGCAAACTTTGCCACATTTGATGCTTCTTTTCCCCACCCCTAAAGGGTAACAAGGTATGACAATAATAGAGCAGTACATAGAGGAAATGTTGGTGTCTTTTAACCCTCTGGAGCAGCTAAAGCTCCAGCTGGTGGTGTGTCTCAGAGCACCAGCTGCTGCAGTGAGCAGCACAAGCAAGATGAGATAACTCAGTAGGTCAGCAGCCCAAGGCTGCAGGAGCTCAGGAAGGACTGATTGTTCTGCCCTGTCTTCAGGTATGGGACAGCTCTGCTAGAGAAGGGTTGCTGCACACAACTGTGACAGAAAGGTTCACAACCACGCCACTAGAAAACATTTGGTTTGACTATCACCCAAAAATAAGATGATTTGTTCCTGCATCCCTTGCAGCACTCACTACTCACACTGCTCTCTACTTTCCCTGGAAATACACTGCTTTCAAAGCTGGTGGCTCAGTATTGCCAGACTACCTTCCACTTCTTGCAAAAGAGGTGTAGGCAAATGTGACTGGGCTTATTCATGTCCTCGAGACTCCTGCAAATGCAAGCATGGGTTTGTGGGAGAGATACAGGGAGAAGGAGGGATCGTACTTCTGGAATCTGGAACACATGAAAGTTGATTATGACAAGAAATGCTAACGCATTCCTAACATCTCTTCCATTAGATCTTTGACTTCTCCCTCACTGAGAACGAGATGAAAGAAATTGAAGCCCTGAACAAAAATGTTCGTTATGTGGAACTGTTAATGTAAGTATAGGAAAAATCATAGAGCATTCCTGTTGTTTTGGAGAATTAAAAAAAATCACTTCCTTTTAATATTAACTTTTGCATAAACAACCCTATTCTAAGGTAAGGCTTAAACATGAGAGACTGTGAATGCAGCCTGAATATGCTCCCAGACCCACTGCAAAAATAAGTCTATAATATTTGCCTGCAGCTCAGGTTCTCAAAGTCCACCTAGTAGAAAGTGAGTGTATCTTCCTGTTCCATTTCTCTTCCATCTCCTTAAACTCCTTCTGCTATGTGGGAATGGTGGTCTCAGACACTGATAAGGCATAGCACCATCCCTATCTAGAAGTGTGGATATTAGAGCTGAAGTTCAAATAAAATTGATTTGTACCTTCTTCTAAGAAAAACAGAAGAACAGAAAGAAAAAACTGCTAGACCACTTCCTAATTATCTCTTCTGAGACCTATCAAGGCTTGATCTCTTGCTGCTTGTCACCTAAAGCTTACCACCCAATATAGTTTTGCTTCACCTGAAAGCTCAGACCTAGCTAACAACCTCTCTCTTCCACAGGATGAGGCTGTTTGTTTATTCTTCAGCTCAAAAGCATCTACAGCTTATGGCCAAACTTTGCTTTCACCTTTTCAGGTCACTCAATAAGTAGCCAAATGCTAGAGATTGAATTCCAAGCATTTCTCTTTTTACCTTAGATTATCTGTGTCCTGCTAAGTTGTAGCGTGAAATGAAAAGCATTGACAACAGCATCAATAGCACTCTAAAATGTTGACCATTGCTCATAAGATACAGGGAAATGTTGCAAAGAAACAAACAAACCACTTACTGTGCTGCATAAATATGATCAAAAATATGCACTAAGTTAAAAGCATCATGATGGAGTTCATTTTTCACATTTAAGCTCAGCCAGGTGCTCTGAAGCTTTAGTTTCTTAAGACTTAGAATAGCCCTCCATCAATTAGCAGTCCTCTCACAAATGGCCTAGGAGATTCTTAAGTGTGTTTTGGCATCTGACACAGTCTGGTTTTATATAGAAAAATTGAGTTATAGCATCATTTAAATTTTGAAAATTATATACAAAAAATGTAACCTTGGTGAAAATTCAAGAGCCTTTCCCAGAAGCAAAGTTAAAGACTGCAAATGCCCACAGGGGAAGAACTTTCTAAGCCACCAATCTAAAATACTAATAAGTTAAATGCTTTGCTTTATTAGACTGAATTTGGTCACAGGAGGCCACCAAGGACAAGGAAAACAGGATGCATAGGAGGGGCATGGGCAGCTCTAGCTTTCACAAGAACTCCGTGCTTGGGGAAAAATGTTGAAGCACAATCTGATCTCAGCTATGAAAAAAGCCTTATTGGAAAAGTGATGTTGCCACATAAGGAGCAGATATATAGATTTATATATATAGATATGTATGCCTACTCTGCGTTACCACACTGAAGTGTCTGGCATTGACACTGCATCAGACAAATTACCAGCCTAAACACATTTCTTATTTCATCCAGCAATCTGTATCTGGAAAAGTCAAACCACGATACCGAGAGACTTTTGGTTAGTCAACTTCTTGGAAAACCTTTGACTGCTGTGATGCACATGCCAGCAGGAATGGAAAAATCCAGCTTTTCTCTGGTTCTTCTCCTTATCAGCTACCATAAGGGTACAGTGTGCAAACCTGTTGTTCCGATGGTATGAGTAAGCCCATGCAAACAGGATAACGCAATCAGTGAAATGAATTAGCAAGTTAAGCATCTGAGAAGAAAATGGAGGTATCATAAAAACATGAGTACTTCAGGAAATCTTAATCTGAAATTGTTTCTTCTCCTCTTGGAGAAATCTGGAAGCATTGTGCAGGGCAAGTTTTACATTAATGTATCTACTTGATTTATCTTATGTTCCCATTCTCTGCTATGGATGTTTCTCCTTACCAGTTATGCGAAACTGCACTGACTCCTTCCTCCAAGTGAATCATTTTCACTCAAAGGACTCAGACTTTTGAATATGTGAGATCTGATTAGCAAGCATGCTCAGTAGATGAAAAGTAGAGATAATGACACTGGCAACTCAGACATCAACAAATTATACTGAAGTCAAACAAGCCAAAGTTTTGCAGCTTGTTTTGTTTTTTGGGATTTCTTTTCAACCAACTCAATCTGTTAATGTGTAAACACTTGATCTTGGCTGAATATTGGAATGAAATGTTTTGACACAACCAATTCAAAATGTTTGATGCCTTCCAGTTAGTTACCTTCAATATTGTGAAATGTGTCCTTCCCAGACTGGAACGATTCACAGCTGGATAAACGCCAGTATTTGTTGGGCTGTGCTGTAAGGCAAGGCAGCCAGCTGCCATGGTGCACCTGAGAATGCTCTTCAGAAATTTTTCATTTAGCTAATGGAAAGAGTTTGTCAAGCATGGGCTTGTGATTTAGCATCAGCTTCTCAAACAAACAAGAAAACCCACAACAGAAAACAGCTACCTCTCTCTCAAGTCTGCCAATAATGGGCAAACAAAGTGTTATTTTTTCACCTGAAATTGACCCTGGGAATTTTGTTCTTGCCTTTACAATGATCCTGGATTGTGCATCTTCCCTGAGTGTGCAGTTGCTAAAAAAATGCCTGAAATGTCTCTATCTTTCTTAGGATGCATCCATGACCATCCCTTCCTCCTCTGAACTGCATCACCCTAAAGCTTATTTGTAAATTCTCTGCCACTGTAGATGTTACCAGACTATCTACATGTAGGCTGAGCTAGAGGATAGCCAGACCTAGTTTAGATGGCAGCTGCTTGGGGAGAGCACCACCCTAGACCCAGACCTGTTCATGCCAGCTCTAAGGGCATAAGACCAAGTAGAACAGTCTGGTGTCTCTAACTCTTCTTCACACATAGCCCTTATTTCTAGGCATCTTTCTAGACATCTGAACAAAGTCTTCCCTTTCTACAGTGCACACATGGTGAAGTCATCCCCCTTTCCTAAAACACTTCTAGTCACCTGAGTTAATTGGTGAGAATAGTTGACATCCAGAGTCCTGTTGATTTTCCCCATCTCCCCTTAAGATACGCAGTCTTTAGGCCTGAAAAATGGTCCTTCACTGTCCTCTCCTTAAATACACAGGCTTGCCTCCAACTCTGCAGGGGCAGTTATTCAGAGCAGAACAGCTTCTGAGTAAGTAGAATAGCCTTCCATGAAGGCCACATATATCTGGAAAGGAAGAGGTTTGCTGGGCACAGGCTGACAGCAGTGATCTGATATCTTGCTTCACCCAAGGAGCTCACTTGTCCAATCTGACCTTTCCACAGGTGGCGTGACCATCCAGAGTACCCCTTCAGTGATGAATTCTGAAAAAGAGGTGGGTCTGGACAACCAGCCAATGCTGTTAGGCTTTGCTGAGAGACACTCAATGTTTGGTGCTTTGTCTTCATGTAAGGCTGCTCAAATCAGCATTAAAAACATGACATTTATTTCCTTTGTCTTGTCAGCCTCTTCTTGTTATTGATGACCACATCTATTTAATTCATTGAATTTCTGGTGTTGGCTTAGCAGGCTTTAATGCTGAACACTGAAGGTTCAAGACTAACTGCTGATAAAACCGGAGACTTCTCCTAAAAACAAGCTCGCTAGTTCAATCAAAATTGGTTTCACTTAATGGAATATTCTTCACTTATCTGAAACAAAACTTTCCACTTCAGTAGGTGTGAGGCAGGATCAGTATCACAGAACGGGCAAAGTCCGAAGAGGCCACAGAGGGGTCAAATGGTCCAAACCAGTACCATTTCCTTTTGCAGCTCGAGCAAGAGAAAGTCAAGAGTGGTGAACTAACTGAATCTGATAGACATGCACATATTTTTGCTGATACGGACTAGGTATGTGCACTGCTTCATGCAATGAAACCCATTAAACTCTGACCAGAGTGTTCTGCAGCTGCACTTGTGAGCTTTATTCCATAGGTACATCTCAGCAGGCTCCACATGGAACTAGTTCAAGCCCTAAAGCATTACACACATGCTCATATTCCCACACACACTGCCCCCCTCAGCTGAGGACCTCAGTAAAACACAAGACAGTGTATGACACTTGTATTACATTGTACTTGTTATTCAAGGGTGGCATTAACTAGCATTGCATACACAACCTGCAGCTACAACTAGGGATGTCCTCATCTCATGAGATAAAAAATCCCTTAAACTTCTTTCATGCTCCACTAACTGATATCAACCCAAGAAAATATGTTCACTTAAAAATTCTTATAAACATGAAGGCAGAAGCGGGAAAGGAAGACTGACTCTTTCAGCATGAACTTCTTTTTCAGACCACTTGTTTGCAGCTTATAGGTGCGTCTGCCCATACCCACATCTGCAGAAGGCTACTTTGCCTCCCTCCTGAGCCCAAGAACTCCAGCTTCCTGCCACTGAAGGAGTACACTGGAGAGGTATCAGAGAAGAAACTAAACCATACACTCAGACAGAAACAGTACTTCATGTACTAGAATGTTACATACATTGGAAAATGCGTCATGCATAAGCTTCACTCTATAGCATCTGCTTTTATTTATTACCATTGCTATTTATGATCCCTGGAGTGACTGGAACAGGAAAATGCCAGAGCGTGCAGTTCATGGAAACTCTTCTGTATGGTCATGGTGTGCTCCTCAGAGCTGAGACAAAGAGGGACAGGGATGACCACTTCACAGGAGCAGCAGGGAAGGCTCCCAACAGGGTCAAGTGCAAATGCATCCCTGGATGAACTCAGCGGGCACCACTGGAGAAGTCAGGCCCTTTCAGCAGGGGTGGCCTTCATGTAGAATTTATAAATCCATTCATAAATCTCTGCCAACAAAGGAGAATTCTGCTTCCTGGGGGTTACCCAAGGGCAATTCCCATTTTATTCTATTACCCACTTAGACCAGGGTGGGATATAAAAAACAAGTGGGGCAGATGTGTCTTCTTTCTCCTCAAATATATTAGAAACCTCTTGGTGTAGATCTAAAGACAATCCCAAGGTCAGATGCAACTCTGTGCCCAGGGGTGTTCAGAACCCCTGTCACAAGTCCTGCTTTGCCCCTTTGCAAACAGCTGAGGTCCCGGTCAAAAAACTGAATAAAATCCAAGTCTAAATTCAAGTGCCAGAGAGGAGGAGTTACCACCATACCCAACATGTTATTCTAGTTGCTTCATAAGCAAAAGCCCTAAATAGAGCTCACAAGGCTCAACTGCTTAACAGTAGCACTGTACAAATCTTTGCACTGTAACTTGACCAGGTGCCATTCTCCAGTCACAGCCAACATTCAGGCCAGGTTTGGCAAAGCGCTTGTTGTCTATGACTGCAAATGTCAACTACTGCTTAGCCCCTTTTGCAGCTCATTGCTCTCTCCAGGCATCCTCCTCCCTGAGGTCAGGCAGCACTGGAGAAGCTAATAAAGCAGGTGATCATGTACATGTGAGTAAGGAAAACAATATGCTGAAACCTCTCTAACAGGAAATACCATATAATCAAATCTTCAACCTATACTGATTTAATAACGCAGGACAGATTGTGAGAGATCCTCCTGCCCAAGTCATGCCATCAAATTCCTCCCCCCTCTAATTTTAATAGAATCCTCCTCCTCCTCCTTTGCATTACCTCATTTGTATCTGATGAAAAAAGATTCAGCCTCTTCCCAGGGGGAAATGCTCCCATACTAGTTTCCATCAGTTATAAAACTGCTACTGACATATAGCCTACTTTTCCCCCCTAATCTGCTCAGTTTCAGGCCATTGGTCCCCATTGCTCTCCAACTTGCCCTACAAAGAAAAGGTTTAGATGGGGGGATATAAACGGGCCTACAGGTCGGAGCTTGGGAAACCCATTCTACCAGCAGCTGCACAAGGAGAGAGAAAAGCCCCAAGTATGATTTGCTTCCATCTAGCACATTTCAGAGTCTTACTGGCCTCACTGCCTGGTGTGAAACACATCACTTGAAATGGTCACGTACAGCCCTGCTCTAACTGGAAAAGTCTGGCATGGACAGAGGGGGCTCCAGCACCCCCTGCTCTGACAGGACTCGCACATGACAAGAATAGACCCAATCATGTACTGGAAAATTTACTCACTTTTATGGTAAATAACCTGAACTGTTTGTGACTCTTTGTATAGCTGCAAAGTGAAGTGAAATCCAGACCAAAAGATGTTGCTTCACCTATGCACAAGTTACTTTATAGCACTGAGAAAACGATGCAGCACTTTAGATTCTTTTGCAAACTAAGAGCTGGTATGGACAGCAGAAGCCCAGGTGATGTGCTAACATCCCCAGCAGCGTAGTATTTGCCACCACACTTGATTAGAGGCCAGGCTTAGCTGGCATTCCCTGCTGTTACACAAGCTCAGGGCAGAGCACAGGGCTTTGGATGCAGCAGCCCCGGGCATGTGCACGCTCATGTTCAGCTGGTGAAGTAACTGGAAAGCACTGGCACAGGTATTGTGCAGTGTGCCGACACCACCCCACCCTGCACTGCACCAGGAGAGGAATTTGTTCCCCCACAGGGTGGCAGAGCTTCCTCTCCCCCAAGAAAAAGCATCTGGAATAGGAATCTGTTCCAGAAAGGACATGCATCCAATCTTACCTAAAGCTGTGCAAGAGAAATTGGGAAAATAGTAAGAAGCAAGGTGGGATGGACACTTTGTAGATTTTTTCCAGTCTTACATTAAAGAATTCCCCTTGGATTTATATCACATTTTCGTACCACAAAGCTGCCAACAGATTTTACAAAAGGGTGGAGCTAAGTGCAAGTGGCAATATCAAGCCATCAGCCAGAATTAGGAGGCAATTTTGCGTAGACAGAAATGGACACGGGGAACCTGTAGTTTTCACCCATTGCCTGCCAGTAAGACCTGGGTGAAAATGTGAGACCTCTTCTGCTGGTCTAAGTGTAATGATAACTGAGGGCAGATAATGAGTTTTGCAAACAGCCAGAGAGGATAGGTGACCATAAAAGCCAATGCCATTTGCTGCATGCAGCAGGGTCCTCATTTAATGATGCTTCTTCATTTCATTCTTTTCTGGAATCCAACAAAGCCCAAAAGCTACTCAATTCCAGACTGGCAGAATGTTTAACCATTACCACTTTCTTGGGAAGTGCAACAGTATTCAACAGCAGAGAGGCTGGTACATTCCTTAACTAATTAAGATCACCTTGTAACTAGAATCAGAGTTGATTCATCAATTTGGTGTGTGAATTAAGTGTGGAAGCAAAGCCAGTGTTACAGGGACTCTTAAAGGAAATCACATGCCTGGGATGTGCAAGACATTTCTCAAATCTCCACAGCAAGCAGTGAGGACAAGCTCAGATCCTTTGTGCAGAGTAAGTCAGATCTGAAGATTTAAGATGAGATGACAACCTTTCTACTGTGAACAAAACCAGTGTCTCCTTGTTGCTATCTGCCAGACCAAAACACTTTGAAATAAATCAGTTTCATATTTGCAAGATGATTTCCTTATTTTTTGAGGGGAGAGAAAGGGAGGGATCTGCTATTCCAAAACATTTTTCCTAGGTCTCAACAAGAAAATTCACATGTCTAGAGGTAAGCACTGGGGTGGAGAAGAAAGTCTGTAAGAGAGTGACATGTTAGAATGAGATTCAGCAGGATTATTTCACTTGTGACCTAAACTGCAAACACATTTGCCTTTGGGGGCAGAGTAATCAGCACGTAGTTGGGTACTAGTGCAGTTTTTACACTAATTGATTCTCAGCAGTGCCATATTTCAGCTCTTCCCAACATCCTACTACCCCGGAGCAAAAACTCCAGCTTATAATAAAGGGCTTTGAGAGTGCAAAAGCCAAAAAAACTTAATTTCCCAGTGCCAGACAGACTCCTTGGGGAACCCTAACTCAACATGCATGAGCAATAGTCACAACAGGACAACACATTGCAAATAAAATGCAAAGCAGAACCAAATGGAAAAAGAGGACAGAAAGAAGGAGCTGGAAAGGAAGACAACACGTGTGTATAAACACTTACACATGGACACCAGGGGCTCCACTGGAGGAAGCAGCTCAGTTTCTGCTCTGTAGACTGCAGAGCTACCTGGGTGGAGGTCTCAGATCAGTCTAAGATCACTGAACACAGCAAAGGCAAAATTCTGCACCAGGACAAATGTACACTCAGTTAAAAGATAAATGAGAGCTCATGATGACCCAGAATATGTCTCAGAGTAACCTCACACATAACAAAAGTCCATGCTAGAGCAGGCTGCTGAGGACATTGGGTAGGATCCTGCTGACATTGCAGCACATAAAAATCAGGAGTGACTGCTGACACAAGGTACAGATGCACAAACTGGAGGCCCCATGCCCTTACTGCAGGGAAACTCATCCCAAGTTTTCTCTTCCCCCAATTAACCAGACCAGTATTGCTCTCCCAAGCCAGGACAAACCCTTGGGAAAGCTAGCTAAGGGTATTTTGCCTTTGTGACCTCTTCAGAAAA